TGTCCCATTGGCTGTCCTTGCCATGATTAAAACCAAACCAAGAAAAGCCTTTATTTTAAGTGGCCCAGTTGATTGTCTCAGAAGGAATTACTCACTTCCGACCCTTATCTGCTAAGCATTTGTGATCAGTCTGATAGGGATGTATAGAGAGAGACAGTTGTCATAGGCCAGTGTGCTCTTCTGGATGGGGGGTGGGCACAGAGAGGCCAGCCCTGCAGTGGCGGAACCATGTCCCACGCTGCAAAGGAGGCTGCCTGCGATGAGGGAAGGGACCCTGGAAGGAATTTCTGAAATGCCACCTCTGGAGCTCCTGGGCTCACTCTGAGACCTTAGCTCACTTTTCTGTTAAATGAAAGAATTGGCTGAGGAAGAGTTCAAAGATTGAACATTCCGGCTCTAACATTCTTTGAGTCTCTCTGATTTACAATTTCTAGATGGTAGATAAATATTGGAAAGATGAACTCCATACAGTAGGGTTTTAAATACCTAAAGATATCACAAAACACTTAGTTGTCCTAGATGTCAACTGAATAAACATTAGTGAGTCTGACTTCAGAAATGCTGTTGGGACACTCATCACAGATGCCTAACTGGACGGCTGGGGACTGAGTCTTATTATTGTTTCTTATTTTCTTATTTTTCTCCCTGAGTGCCTTTTACAGTGCCTGACACGTAATTGAGGGCATAAGAATGCTTATAAAATCAAAGAGACAGAAAGGCCTCCTTGCCTCTTTCAGAGTCAGTGTGCCCGGCTGGCTCTGCACTTGACCTCGCATCTGTTTAGTGGCTGCTCTTGGGGAAAGTCAACGTGGGAAGCCTGGGGCTGCCCCCCGCCCCATTGCTTCCTGCTAGTCTGGAGGGGCTATGCTTTAGGTGGAACCACAGATTATTTCAGAACTCACTCCCAGACTGAAAGCTGACTTTGGCTTCCAGACCCAAAAGTCTGTGCATGCCTACCCCTCTCAAAATGAAAATTTCATCTGGGGGAGGAGCTTGATAGTACCTTTCACATCCAAACAACATGGGTTCTGGATGAATCATTAGCTTCTGACCTGAAGCAAGTCTTTCTCCCTAAATGACACTGTGCCTGAGCCTTAATAAAGAAGCCTGAAGTTCCAGGTAAAGGGCTGTCCTTAAGGCTCGCAGTGCCCAATCGCTGGGTCTCTGAAGCCTGTTTCAGCACATAATTCCAGAAGACGTGGAAACCCTCTACTCACTCCAAAAAGGGCTCACTGGCAGCAGAGATCTGGAATGCTAAACTTAAAATCATAAAAGGCCAGATGGACGCTTGTCACATACAAACCATGGCAGGCAGTCTGCGGTGGCAGCTCCGTTTGGAATTGAGTTTGGGGAGAAGCGGCCCTGGGATTCCACATACACGTAGTTCAAGGTGTTGGGAGATGAAGGTTCCCGCCAGCGAAATCAGGAAGGTTTATGGAGAGGTGGGGCATTTGAGTCATTTTAAGTTTGCGAAAAGGGCATTGTAGACGAGGACTGCTGCTGTCAGGGCAAGCGCAGGGTTGGCCAGAGCAGGGTCGGAGGCATTGCTGGGGAGTGGGGCCGAGGGGGCGGGAGGTCAGGATGTGGGATCGCCGCAGCAGCCAGGGTCCTTGGTCAGGAGCTGAGCTTGCTGTGGCTTTTAATGATGGATAAGAAAGAATTTGGAGAAGCCGGAGTGTGTTGTTAAAAAGTCAGCTGTGATCATTCCCCAGGGTACCCATCCCAACCCAAGGTTCCCAGAGGCAGGGCAAACGGACCACCCCTGGCCCAGAGGACACTTGTGCAAATTAGAAAAAGTACTCCTTTCTCAAGACTCTTGCATCTCTGGGGAAATTGTCTAATCAAATGGATTTTATTAGAATAAGACATTTTCTTGCCATCTGTCTAAAACATGCCAGAATACCGTACAGGTCGAGGATGTCCTATCTCGAGTGGCCCCCCCTGTGGTAGCACCACCGGGGCCTGCTTGCCCTCTGCGGTGGCTGGGTGCAGGCTTGGCCCCAGGACTTGGCCTGAGGCAGGGCCCGAGCCTTTGTTTTCCATGACCCCCTCCCACCATGCATACTGGGAACCCACCACGAAAAAGGGGCTCAGACCTTTTGGTCTGTTGTCAACCGACTGCCTCTGTCCAGCAACGCGGTGCTCTGCTGGAAGTTCTGCCACGTGTTCCACAAACTCCTCCGAGATGGACATCCGAATGTGAGTTCCTTGGGCCACAGAGGCTGCTGTCCACGCCCATGCTGTCCCCTTCCCCTGGCCTCTGGGTTCCCCGTTAGAGGTGGGCAGCCTCTCTCCAACCAGCCTGTCTTCCCTGCCCCATCCCGTCCTCTCTTCTGCTCTCTCACTAGCTGTTCTCTTCCCTCTCCAGGTCCTGAAAGACTCTCTGAGATACAGGAATGACTTGAGTGACATGAGCAGGATGTGGGTGAGTTTGGAGATGGCCCAGGAGCCCCCTGCTCCTTCTCCTCCTTTCCCAGAGGCCACAGAACAAGGGCCAGGGAATGGGGCATATTCATCTCTTTCAGCTTGTTTAGGATTCTCCTATTAGCCCAGGGAGGGGCTAAGGATGCCCCAAATAATATCACAATGTCCACAGTCTTACCTGGGGTCCTTGGAAGCTGCACAAAAGTTCCAGGGCCTGGGAGCTTCTCCTGTCAATGGACCCTCATGTCAAAAAGCTGTCTGGGCATTGGGATCCCTTAGCAGCTACATTGCCACTGTTCCTACGTCTTCCCTTCCACTGGGGTCACAGTGCGCTGAGGATTAGCATTCCCAGTTCTTAAGGCCAATACCTTTTCTTTCCTGTCCAGGGAGTCTCAGTGGCTTAGGCTGACGGGGGAGGTAGGTGGCAATGTCAGAATCCATTGAAAAGAGTGTCTCTCTACATGCCCCTCAATCCCTGTAGATTCTGATGTCCAAGGGCATGTGTATGGAGAGGGGTCATCTGCATTTTGGAGACTCTTCCCGGTTGATTCTTATATGGCCCTCTTGTCCCTATCAGTTGAGAACTACTACCTTTGCCTTTACCCTCAAAGTCTTACCAGCCTCTGTCTGCACTCAGCACTTGTAACATGGTAGCCATTCTGTAGTCCTATCTACCTATCCCAGGTGGGGAGATGCAGGCCCAGAGAGGGGGGCAGCTTGTCCTAAAGTCACAAGGCTTGTTACCTGAACAAAGCCGATAGTTGTCCCCAACTCTTCCAATGACATTCTGGAAAGCTTTCCTTATCACATGTAAAGCTTAGACCTTTTCCTTTTTATTAGAATTTGCCTGGTATATCTTTCTCCAGCGTTTACTTTCAACTTTCTTATATTCTTATGTTTTAGAACTATCACTTGTAAATAGCATTTAGTTGGATGTGAGGTTTTTGTTTGTTTTTTTATTCAAGATGGCAGCCTTCGTCATTTACTGGGCATTTAGTCTATTTACATTTATTATATGTTACTTACATATACATACTTGATATGTTTATATTTATATTTTATTTTATGCTTTCTATTTTCCCATCTGTTCTGGTTCTATTTCTCTCATTCCTTGCCTTCTTTTGGGTTGGCTGGGTATTTTTTTTATCATTCTATTTTTTTCCTCATTACTAGTTGCGAGATTAAAAAAATATTTTTTCTGTTATGTTCTCGAATAATTACAAAATGCTTGCTCAGTTTACCAAGGTCTACATTTCTTACCTTTATCTGTTTCCTGTATAACACAAAGACCTTAGAATTTTTTAATTCTACTCACTCCTTCAACTTGTGTGTCAGTATTGTCATGTATTTTAGTTTTGGTTATGTTTTTCTTTTTAAACCCTATAAGATATTGTTTTATTTTAGTTGTTTTATTCTGTGCTTGCCACAGAACTTCCATCTGGGATCAGTTTCTTCCTTCCTGAATTGTTTCTTCTAGAATGTTCTTTATTGAGAGCCTGCTGGTGGCAAACACCATTTTTGTTTGTTTGAGAATGTCTTTATTTCAACTTTATTCATGAAAGATATTTTCTCTGGGTTTAGAATTCTAGGGTGACGGTTATTTTCTGTCAGCCCATGAAGGATATAATTCAGGATTTCTTTTCACTGACTTCTGGCTGTCATGATTTTCATAAAGTCAGCTGTGAGACTCACTGTTGCTCCTTTGAAGCCAATCTGTATTTTATCTCTGACCGTTTTAAGATCTTGGAATGTGTCTAGGAGTGAATTTATTTTGGATTCTTTGGACTTCTTAAATCTGTAGGTATCTTTTATCAGTTATGAAAACTTTTCATTGTTGTTTCAAATATTACCTTTTGCTCCATTTGTCTTTTCCTTCTGACACTTTGTCTTAGAAGCGTGTTGGACTCTCTCACTCTGTCCCCCATATCTCTAAACCACTATTTTGGTTTTTTCTACATATTTGTCTCTGCTGCATTTTGGATAATTTCATCAGATCTAGCTTTCAGTTCACTTGTTCCCTCTTTAGCTCGGTCTAATCTCTTGGTAAACCTCTCCATAAGGTTTTCAGTTTTAGTTAGTACAGTTTTAATTTCTTGACGTTCTTTTTTTTTTCAGATTTGCTTGGTATTTTTTACAATTCCTTATGCCCTACATATATTTTGAAACAACCTCTTTATCTCTTCAGATATGTTAAACCTAGTCATTTCATATATTGCTTTTTATAATTCCATTATCTAAAATCCTTAGAGATCTGTTTCTGTCATCCATCACTTTTTGTGACTTTTGCTCATGCTATATAATTTCCTTTTGTGCTTAGTTATTTTGCACTGTAAGCTGCTCCTTTTCCTTGGCATTCTATTTGTGGGAATTCCTTGAAGTCTGTAATGAAGGCAGGTTCCTCCAGAGAGAATCGGCATTTGCTTCCATTGAGATCATTCTAAATTAAATTCTCAGCTTAAGGTTTTGTGAATTCTGGGTAGATCCCCTTGGGGACTGGCTTATGGGTCCAATTCTCAGCAGTGGTTTTTCCTTCCCTCTAATCACAAAAGTGGTTTGAAGCTATAGACTTTCTTTACAGCCCTCAGGGGGACTTCCTCCTCCATACAGGAGTGCCAGGGTGTGTGTTATTTTATATATACCCTTGCTTCCCTCCACCAATGAGGCAGTCTTTTAGCTCTTCCATGAGACTCCTCAACTTGGGCAGGCCAGAGTCCTGTCTCTTGTTCACCACATGACCACTGAGGCCTAGAAAATCAAAGCTCAGTTCACCTGGCGTGGCAAAGCTCACCCCAGCCTTCAGTTGCCTGAGTATCTGTGTTTACTCAGTTCCCGGCCTGAGGATTTCTTACGCTCTTGCTAACTCATTGATGCCTTCAAAAAGAAGTTTTAATATTTTACTCAGTATTTTTAATAGTTTTCAGTGGGAAGATCAACCCAGGTAGCTAGCCTACCTTGTTACCCAAAATGAAATTCCTTTAGGTCTTTCTTCCTAGGTAGTTCTGTCTCTTGCCTTTGACTTAGCGTTTCTGGAAGTTAGGACCATCTTTTGCTTTTTGATCCTTGTGCATTTTCATGTTAAGTATAGTTAGTTGTTTTTGATGGTGAAAATATTTTTCTCCTTTTTCCATGCTTTCTAATTTTTCAAAAATGAACTTTTCTATAAGTATTACATAAAAATTAATAAAATATGAATTGTTCATAGAAAAGTAATACCTTATCAACATACTGCCGTATCTGGCATTGACATTTTTAACCTCTTCTGATTCCTTACCTCCCTTTGGTGCCCTTTCAGACATGTTCAATGTGATTCCTTTATTCTGTTCTAGAGCTGTGGTCCCCAACCTGTGGGCTGAGGACTGGTAGCAGTCCTTGGCCTGTTAGGAACCGGGCCGTATAGCAGGGAGTAAGCAGTGGGTGAGCATCACCACCTGAGCTCTGCCTCCCGTCAGATCAGCAGCGGCATTAGATTCTTACAGGAGCGCAAACCCTACTGTAAACTGCATAGGTGAGGGATCTAGGCTGCGCGCTCCTTATGAGAATCTGATACCTGATGATTTGAGGTGGAGCTGAGGCCGTGTTGCTAGGGCTGGGGAGCGGCTGCAAATACAGATTCTCATTATCAGAAAGGTTTGACTGCACAATAAATGTAATGCGCTTGAATCATCCCAAAACCATCCCCACACCAACCTCAGTCCATGGAAAAATTGTCTTCTATGAACCCGGTCCCTGGTGCCAAAAATATTGGGGACCGCTGCTGCTCTAGAGAATATAGATGCACTTAAAAGAAAATGTGGAAGTCAAAACTCATATGGGAGCCACAGCTGTTCAGTTTAAGGGTTCTTTGCGCCCCCGTTTCCCTCCCTTGTTGTAGATAGCTGGGAGTTGCCAACATCACTCTGTTAATTTTCCTTCTTCCCAGGCACCCAGGGCAGCAGGGGCCTGGCTGCATGGGCAGGCCCCATGGGAAGGTGTGTTCTGCACCAGCTAGGACTGGTCCCATTTCAAATCCCCACCCCATGATAATAGTATAAATGCTCTTAGGCTACTGGAATCCATCGGCAGAGGTGTTCTTACTGTGCTTAGAGAAAACAGAAGGAAGGAAATAGCCCATGGCCAGACTCTGATTGCCAAGGGTAGGAGACTTACAATTCTTAAATAAGAAGCCTTATTCAAGATTTATCCCAAGGAAGTCCTCACATTTGTACACAAGAATGCTGTAAAAATGTTCACTGAAAGTTAGTTTATCATGGCAAAAATTTTAACTAATTTGAATTTATTGAGTCAGTTCAATAAATTACAATAATAATTATATAGGACAGTCACAAAAAATTATGATACAGGAGAAAGTTTAAGAAGATAGGACAGGCCGGGCGTGGTGGCTCACGCCTGTAATCCTAGCACTCTGGGAGGCCGAGGCGGGCGGATTGTTTGAGCTCAGGAGTTTGAGACCAGCCTGAGCAAGAGCGAGACCCCATCTCTACTAAAATTAGAAAGAAATTAATCGGCCAACTAAAAATATACAGAAAAAATTAGCCGGGCATGGTGGCGCATGCCTGTAGTCCCAGCTACTGGGGAGGCTGAGGCAGGAGGATCGCTTGAGCCCAGGAGTTTGAGGTTGCTGTGAGCTAGGCTGATGGCACGGCACTCTCTCTAGCCTGGGCAACAAAAGCGAGACTCTGTCAAAAAAAAAAAAAAAGAAGATAGGACAAAATTGCAGTATATTAAGTGAAAAAATAGATTGATTCTGTTTTATATTTTAAGAATAAAGGTAGAGCACTGAGGATTTTTCGGGTAGTGAAATTATTCTGCGTGATACTATAATGGTAATTTTACATTTGTCAAAACCCATTGAATGTTTAACACCAAGAGTGAACCCTACTGTAAACTCTGGACTTTGGGTGATAATGACATGTCAATGTCGGTTCATCGATTATAACACATGTACCACTCTGGTGGGGGATATTGATAGTCAAGGAACTTGTGTGTGTTGGGGGGGCATAAGAAGTAAATGGAACTCTCTCTACTTTCTGCTCAATTTTGCTATAAATCTAAAGCTGCTCTTAAAATAATCTATTTAAATTGAAAAAATAGGCTGGGTACAGTGGCTCAGGCCTGTAATCCTAGCACTCTGGGAGGCCAAGGAGGGAGGATTGTTTGAGCTCAGGAGTTCGAGAACAGCCTGAGTAAGAGCGAGACCCCGTCTCTACTAAAAGCAGAAAAAATTAGTGGGACGTGGTAGCATGTGCCTGTAGTCCCAGCACTTTCGGAGGCTGAGGCAGGAGGATCCCTTGAGCCCAGGAGTTTGAGGTTGCAGTGAGCTAGGCTGATGCCACGGCACTCTAGCCTGGGCAACAGAGCGAGACTCTGTCTTAAAAGAAAAAAACAAAGAAAAAAGAAAGGAAAGGAAAGGTTATACCCGTAAAATGTTACCTGTGATTACAACTAGTGGTTAGGTTATGAGTGATTTGTTTGTATGTGTGTTTTTCTACATTTTCTAAATTTTTAAAAATGGACATTTGTTATTTTCATAATCGGAAAAAGATTCTCTACCAAGGAAGTCCTAGCTGCAGGTCTCTGGACCCACATGTTGTTGGTGTTGACACTGTTTTCTTGCGTCTTCCCGACAGGGTCACCTGAGTGAGGGGTATGGGCAGCTTTGCAGCATCTACCTCAAACTGCTGAGAACGAAGATGGAGTACCATACCAAAGTGAGTCCCGGCGGACGACCCGCCGCCACCACCCGCTCCCACCCTAAGTCCCCTCAGCACCTCTCTGAGCCTAATTGATAGGGATCCTTCAGGTAACAGACAGCCTGGGCTCCCAGGGAGTGCTTGAGCCACACTCCAGCTGTACGAGAGGAAAACTGCAGTCGGGCCTCTGGGGTGTGGCAAGGCCTGGGATTTTGGCCTATGTCTTCTATCTTTTGTTCCCCATTTTACGTCTAGAAAGAGGAACCGTATCCACTAGGTTGCCTTATACTGTTACAGAAATACTGATTATACTATTAATATAAACAATTCCTGCAATTTCTCTAGTGAGTTTCCACACAGAACCTTCTTTTAATCAATATCTGACTTTGGTCAGTAAGTATTTCTCACACACCTAATGCATGTAAGACTGTGTGCTCAGTACTAACAAGCATGTAAGAGTAAGTAAAAAATGGGCTGGGCGCGGCGGCTCATGCCTGTAATTCCAGCACTTTGGGAGACTGAGGCAGATCACTTGAGTCCAAGAGTTTGAGACTAGCCTGGGCAACATAACAAGACCCCATCTCTAAAAAAAATAAAATAATTAGCTGGGCATGGTCACATGTGCCTATAGCCCCAGCTAGGTGGGCGGCTGAAGCAGGAAGATCTCTTGAGCCCAGAAGTTCGAGGCTGCAGTGAGCTATGATCATGCCACTGTACTCCAGCCTGGGCAACATAGCAAGGAAGACCCTGTTTCTTAAAAAAAAAGAAAAAAAGAAGAAGAGGAAGGAAAAATTGCCTGCTTTGTAGGAGTTGACAGATTCCTGGGGGCAGACGGCACACGTGCACACTGGCAGTAGCCATGTCATAGTGCACAGCAGTTACCTGTGCCCATGGAGAGGTGCCAGGGACCTTCTGAAATGACAAAGTCACAGTGTCAGGAAGAGCAAAGCGAAGGTGGAGCTTGGGGGATGGGGGAGGTGCAAATGCGTGGGCGGGAAGGAGAATGGTGTGCCAGGTGGGAGAGGAAACGGCTTGAGCCGGGAGCTGCCAGTGGAGATGGAGAAGGGAAGAGATTGAAGAAGAAATAACATAATTTAGTGTCTTTATCTATATTATCTTTTATCTACTCGAAGGGTAGCTTTGATTCATTGATACTATTCTACTGTTAAACCTTGTACAGACATCATTTAATGTTCACGACAGCCGTACAAACAGGTGTAATTATATCCTAGGAACATGCAATTTGGAGGGTGGTTGAGTCCCGTGGAAAGCGTGGACTTGAACGCAGGGCTGCTTGGTGCTGACGCTGTGCCGTGCCCAGTGGCTGCTCTTACCTGCCTTAGTGTGTCATTGAGGGCCTGCCACGGGCTGGATGGCGTTAGGTTCTGAAGAGAGCGGGGTAAATGGACTTTGTCCCTGCCTTGGGAGTCTTGCAGTTTGGTCGGGAGAGGAGAGAGATACCAACAGGGCTAGAACGGGAGAAGCAGAGGCGGCACGGGGACCATGAGGGCATCTACCTCAGACTCAGGGCCACACAGAATGCTTGGAGGCAGTGACGCCTGAGGTCAATCTGAGCGCATTCTGGTTGTCTCGGCTGCATAACACATCGCACAAAAACGGAGTAGCTCAACACAACAATCTTGCCTTAGCTCCTGCACTTTCTGTTGGTCAGGAATTCTGGAAGGACTTGGTTGGCACTACTGGCCGGAGGGTTCTTGTGAGGTTGCAGTCAGATGATGGCTGGAGCCAGAACCGTGGGGACTGCACAGAGCGGCTGGGGAGAGAAGAGGGGGCCGGACGAAGAGGGCCAGGAGGGCATCTCAGGCAGAGGGATCAGCTGGAGACCTCAGAGCATGAGGCCGGAACAGTCTGGTGACCTTGTGGAACTAGCGACAGATCCACGTTGGTGTGAGGCTCGGGCAGGGTGGAGAGCGGTAGACGTGAAACGTCCGGGTCACCGAGGCCTCAGCACCCGCCTGAGGAGCACTTTGGACTGTTCTGTACCCGCTGGGGATCAGGCCTTCAAGCAGTGACATGGGCCACTGTGCATCTCGGGTTGCCCTTCCTGGGGGCAGGGTGGAGCGGGGGCTTGAGAGCCCCAGGCTGCCAGTGTGGACGATGATGGGAGCCAGAGTTAGGAGAGTTGTCCTCGGGATAGAGGGCTGGGGACTGCCGGGAGATTGGCAGGAAAGGGAGGAGGGGGCAGTAACCAGAGGGGCCGCGGGGCCAGTGAGACAGACCTTGGTAGCGGGAAGAAGGGCACGAGCAGAGAGAAGGGGAGGCCTGGGGGCCGGGTGCTCTGGCCTATGGGCTCTGACAGGACAGAGAACAGGTGTCTTACCTTCGTCCAGCCCAGAACAGGTGCTCAATCAGGATTTGTCGCCTGAATGACAGAATGAACTAGAAACTACATGGGCTCTAGCAGCACAGAGGGGCTGGTCCTGAGTAAGGAAAGAGGCTAGAGGACAGGAAGGACGGGGCTCCATGGAGAGCGGGGAGGGGACGGGAGGCAGGATGCGGAGGCCACTGCCACCTGACGATGTAAGAAGGAAGGTCACGTGCTGAGGGTGACAGGGTGGGAATCGGATACCAAGTTTGAGAGGGAAGGGAGTCATCCACGGAAGGGCAATGGCAGGGCTGTCATGGGCACTGTTACAGACTGAATGTGTCCCCCCAGAATTTACGTGTTGAAATCCTAACCTGCAGTGCAATGGGATTGGGGCCTTCGGGAGGTGATAGGTCATGAAGGTAGAGCCTCGTGCGTGGGATTGGTGCCCCAGTCAGACAGGGCAGGAGAGAGCTTGCTTCTCCCTCTCGGCCATGTGAGGGACATAACCGGGAGGAGGGCCTAGACCAGGAACCGGATCTGCCAGCACTTTGGTCTTGGGCTTCCCAGCCCCAGGACTATGAGACGTCAATGCCGGGTGTTTAAGCCGCCCTGTCTGTGGGGTCTTGTTATAGCAGCCTGATCTGACTAGGAGGACGCTAAGGCCAGAGAGCGTGAATGATTAGTGACACCAGCTGTGAGTCCTTCTCTGGGGACGTTTGGCCGCTGGCCCTAGGCACAGAGCATGTGACAAGGACCCAGGCTCAGCAGATCTTCATAGCAGGGTGGTGGAAGGATGGGCAGGGCATTGGGGGTGGGACTGATGTCCAGACTGAGCCAGGAAGTGAGTGTGGCCAGAGAGACAGGAGTGGGAGCAGGAAGGGACTGGCCATCTGAGTGGTGGCAGACGTGAGGGCGGGACAGGGCTGCAAGGGCAGAGACCTGGATGTGGCAGCTGGAGCGGAGGATGCTGTGCAGGCGGTTCTAGGTGGTGGCAGGGTCCAGGGTGGGCGCACATAGCTGGGGGTGGAGTAGAGGTGCTGAAATGGAGGAGGTCAGAGGTTACAATCCCAGGGTACAGGGCTTGGGGCAGAGGAAGACTCTGGTATAGGTGCCAGGGACTCGGATAAATACCAGGTAGTGACCAGAGATGGCAGGTCCTAGTGATGAGGAGATACAAAGGGGGAATAATTGAATCAAATGAACTTGCAAACAAGAGCCATTGTCATTTGGAGAAACACCAGGACCCGGGAAGGACACGGCCCACACCTCCCAGCCCGTGTAAATGGGCTCGTGGAAAGTGAACCCGCGTCACTCCAGAGGCTGCGCTGTCCTTTGGGGGCAGGTGAGAGGTTGAGGCTACAGGCTGCCCTGAAGTTCCGAGAGGCAGTGGGATGGGAGATGGGGTGCAGGAAACACCCGAGGACGGTAGGGACGGAGAGGCTGGGAGGGGCTGGGCATGGAGAGCCCTGTGTTTGGACACCTGCCACTGGGGACGGCAGAGGCGCTGAGGTGCCCTGTGGGACTCTGTGGAATTCTGGAACCAAGTCCACCAGCCTCAGAGGCCTTGGCACCTTGGACCCCAGAAGCTGAGTCTGCGGTGGGCATTTCCTGGCAGGGGATGGAACATTAGCCCAGCCACGTGGGGGAGGCGGGGGCAGAATCATGAACCCTAAGATCCAGCTCTGCTCTTGCCTTTGTCCCGGACCTTGCCTGGCCCTCGGCAGCCCCCAGCACGGCGCTGTCGTGAGCCTTTCTGGTAGGAGGGCGGGGGTGGGGACTCTGGGACACAAAGATGGAAGGCGTTGGTGTGTCGGGGGTATGAGGAAAGCCAGGGGAGGGCACAGATGCAAACTGTCAAAAGAGGTCAAGGGTTTCAGGTTAAGCAGAGTTCAGATGCCATCGTATCTTTCGTGTGCCTGGTGTAGGCAGGTGAGCCCACGGCTGAAACGCTTGGATTCACTGTGAAGAAGTCACCATGCCAGGCAGTGTCCAAGGCTTTGCAGGAGCCTCATAAGTCAGTCGCTGGCCTCGCTGAGAGAAGTCCCTGAGTGTGCGCTTCACACTCAGCTCTGCCGCGACCTCCAGCACCTGTGTGTAGCGCATCCGTTACTGTACACGAGTTTCCACCTGCGCCTGGAAGCAGTCTGTTTTCGAGGCAGACTGACCCGAGTTCAGACTTCAGCTTCATACCTATGTGACCTTTAACCCAGATTTAAAATGGGAATCATTATTTCTGCCTCACGGACTGTTGTGAGGATTAAATCAAAGTCGAAACGCATCGTGCAAGGTGATGGGCAGGTGTCCCCTGCCTCCTCCGCCTCCCCTTGCCCTGGTCCCCAGAGTACCCAGAGGCTCCCCGCACTACCAAGCTTCACGGTCCCAGCTCCCTGCTGTCCCACCCATTCAGAGTCACGGGAGGGCACATTAAAACACAGCTCACTGGGCCCACCCTGGAGTTTCCGATTCAGTAGGTCTGTGGTGAGAATTTGCATTTCTAACAAGTCCCCAGGTGATGCCAATGCGGCTGGTCCCGGGACCACTCCTGCAGGACCACTGCTGTCGACTTCGAGGTGAGATAGAATAGAAATGACAGACACCCACCACCTGGCCCTTTTATCTCAGTATTTCCATTTTCAGAGCCTAAAGTACTCACTCTAGAACTTAGAAGGCCCCGAAGAATCGGCCATGCATCTTTCTGGGGCCCTTTCCTTTGCCAGAGGGACAAGCCACACAGATGAAGACACAAGGATGTGGACACTTGGCGGCGACTAATGATACCAGTTAACTTCTCTTGACTTAGGGGTGTGCTACGTAGCATGTTCCTGCCCACAAGTTTCTCTTGCTAATTACACTCTGCAGCAGCTAATGTGAGAACGGGTTTGCCTGCCCTGCTCTCGCAGCAGCAGCTTCTGGAAATGGCAAAGGACAGCAGGAAGTCTGAATAGGATTCAGACGGACCAGGGCTAAATATAATTATTCCACTGCCTCACGTGTCGTGGGTGATTGGGAGGCGACCATGTCGCATGCTAAGTGTCATTGCACTGCGGGAAAGCATCTTTAGAAGAATGTCCCAGGGCGCAGATTGTAAGGCAGGAGCCCTCGCCTGGCTCTGAGGGGTGGGATGGAGCCTTCACCTCTGATAATGGGTAGAGGACATTCTGTGTGTGTGTGTGTGTGAGAGAGAGAGAGGTTGTGTGACCTGACACCGTCTCCCCAGGAAGAATGTGGGTGCCCGTGGGAGTACAAGCTGCGCAGGCACGGTCCAGCCTGCAGCTGCCCAAGCTCAGTGTGTACAGGGCTGCTTGATGTTGGTCGGGCAAGGTAGAGAGCTCCTAACATGCCCTGTTCTGACTTCCTCTACCTCCTTTCCAGAATCCCAGGTTCCCAGGCAACCTTCAGATGAGTGACCGACAGCTGGACGAGGCTGGAGAAAGTGATGTTAACAATTTGTAAGTGGTTGCCGTCCTGCTGTGGGCCCAGTGGGGAGGAAAGCTTTTGTGGATGCTGTCACTTCTCATTAGGGTCACAGAAGGCCTGATGGCAGGGGCAGTGCTGGGGTGGGGACCAGAGCCCCCGGGTGACTTGGCTTTGGGTGACTCTGCCTTACCCAGACCCTCTGCTGGGCTGTCTCATAGCCCGGAGTTTTCCTCTCTGTCTTGCCCTCCCAGCCTAACACTGGGACCTGTCCTCTCCCTTTGCCACTGTCACCGTTAACTCTGCCCTGCTGGATCTTTACCTGGCCTTAATACCCACTCGGGTGGGGGCTGAGAATGGGAGCCGGGATGTGTGTGCCTGTACTTGTGCATATGCGTGTGTTTATGTACATGTGTGTGCACACATGTGTGCCTGTGTGCGCATGTGCATTCCGGTGTGCACTGGGGACTGGAAGTAGCAGTGCAGAGCATGAGGAAGGGGCAGGTGACAGACTGGCCTCAGGCCGTGGAGTGTAAGCTTTCTTTCCTCTTGGGTCCAGTTTCCAGTTAACAGTGGAGATGTTTGACTACCTGGAGTGTGAACTAAACCTCTTCCAAACTGGTGAGTCTCCTCCCGTCCGTCTGACCCCAGCTCTCACAGGAGTTGCCTCATTCCCAGCCTCGTTCCCTGCTGGGACCAGCTGGCCTGGCCCTCCTTTGCCTACAAGTTGCGCAACGCAAGGGGCAGGAAAATAGAGATATTCGCTCCTCATCTCTGCGCACTCCATTCCGCATGCAGGGAGGGCCTGAAGCTCTCGGCTATTATCCAAATCTGTGGTTTCATATCGGAGCAGAAAGACCATATTTCCCTCCCTGCTGGCCTCCCTCTGGAAGCCCAGGCCTCCAAGATCCCAAAGACAGCTCATACCCCTTTGACAGCCACTGATTGGACTGTGGCCACAGCCCTGGCCAGTCCTGCCTGCCACTCAGAGCGGGGCAGGCACGAGGGCGTGATTTCTGCCCGGGAAGAAGGACTTGTGTCTGCTGTTCAGTTGGCAGCCATGGGAACAAGCTGGTCAGGTTGGGGTGTTGCCCAGGTCCACGTGAGAAGCTCGTGAAGTCCCACTCTGCTAGCAGGGAAGTTGGCTGCACATCCAGGCTCTCTTTTCCTGAGAGTTCTGGTGCCTCCAGACCGTCAGCCCTGAAGCTTCCCCAAAGAGCCTCAGCGGGTCCTTCTCCCCAGCGTCTCCTCCCCAGGCCTCCCAGCTGGCTCCCTCCTTTCTCTGGGGACACAGGAGCAATGTTCTGAGTCTCGAGGTGTTCCACGACAAGTGTCCAGCTCTGGGAGGGTGTTCCCCACTGGAGGTGTCTTGCGCAAGCTTGGTGGCCTTCTCAGCATGTGCACAGGGAGGGCCCACTCTCGGGGCTCTGACTCCTCACCCTGAATTGCAGCTTCCCTCAGCGTGTTCATCTGTGCATCAAATGCTTACTACTGGCCTATTCTTTTCCAGAATATTCTGTTCCAGGCTATACTAGGCCTCTGACAGGGCAACTAATTCCTTAATACTTTTTTTTTTTGGAGACAGGGTCTTGTTCTGTTGCCTGGGCTGGAGTGCAGCAGCATCGTCTTAGCTCACTGCACCCTCAAACTCCTGGGCTCAAGCGATCCTCCTGTCTCAGGCTCCCGAGTAGCTGGACTAGAGGTGCACGCCACCACACCCGGCTAATTTTTCTATTTTTTGTAGAGACAAGGTCTCGCTATGTTGCCCAGGCTAGTTTTGAACTCCTGGCCTCAAGCAATCCTACTGCCTCCACTTCCCAAAGTGCTGGGATTACAGGCATGAGCCACTGTACCCAACCATATTCCCTAATACTTTGACCAACCAGTTCAGTATAAGATGTGGTCAGAGAAATATCAGAAACAGTTGGAAACTGTGATTTGTGGGAAAAGGAGGGTACTCGGCTGACTAGTAACCTATTTGAGCAGGGTCTTAAACAAAACTCAGTAGAGAAGTAAAAATAAAACACAACACAATATCTGCCCTCTCAACCTAGTCACGTTGAGAGAGGTGGTGTAGATGTGTGTTTTTTTTAATGCATTGGACATGTTTGCATAAAAGTATATGAATAATTGTTATAGCTAACTTTTCATTACTTCCCTTTGGGTGGGAAGGACCTGGGTGGATAATTCAGAGTTCATCTGCATTTAGCTTAGGAATGTGCTAGATTTGAATACAGACATGAATGATGTTCTCGGAATTGTCATTGTTGGGAAAGTGCAACCTAGAAGTTGCAACTCAGCTGATCCCAGCTGTCTCCCAGCAGCTCCAGCCTCCTCTCAGAGCCACCGCCTGCCTGCCATTGCCGTGGTGGCTGGGGGAGTGCGAGTCAAATGTTGGACCCTTTGGAGATGTCCTGCCAGCTCCTGGCAGCAGGTGGACCGAGCAGAGAAGTGATGACGTCCAGAAGGACGTGAGTAGGCTGAGAGAATGAGTGTGGGGTACAGGTGGTCAGCTCAGTCCTTTTGTCCCACATCCCATGAGCACTGGCCCTGCTTTTTTATGCATTGTTCCCTTAAAATTGTGACCACAAGATTTTGTGTTCCTCCCCCAAATCAGGAGCCGTGACTGACTCATCTTTGAATTCCCTCTGTTCTAGCCCAGTGCCCAATATATATGGCAAATTCTCAGCAATAAAATAATGCTTCTGGCCGGGCACAGCTGCTCACACCTGTAATCTCAGGACTTTGGGAGGCTGAGACAGGAGGATCACTTGAGCCCAGGAGTTTGAGGCCAGGCTGGGCAACATAGTAAGACCCCATCTCTACAAAAAATGGAAAAATTAGCTGGGCTTGGTGGCACATGCCTGTGATTCCAGCTTCTTGAGAGGCTGAGGCAGGAGGATTGCTTGAGCCCAGGAGTTTGAAGTTGCAGTGAGGTGTGATGACACCACTGCACTCCATCCTGGGTAACACAGTGAGACCCTGTCTCTAAAAAAAAAAAAAGGAAAGAAAAAATGCAGCCTTTGGACAAATAGCGATGAAGAGATAGGTGAATAAAATTCATTAAATGTTGTCAGCTTCCAGCTTCACGCTCTGGGAATATTTGGCATGAATTACTTAAGAGTCTTCTAGAGTAGAGCTACCCATGTTTAAACCCCAAGTCTTTGCAAAAAGCCCTCCGTGGTCAAATGCATTGATTTGGAAGCCAGAACCCTCTGTTACACGTACACCCAACCCCACTCTGTGCCCCAGGTGCCTACATCCAAGTGCCACAAAAATCAAGAGCGCTGATGTGGAATACATCTCTCCAGGCTGAGTCCTTGTCTGTGACCCTGTAGGGTTCTGACCAGTACCCTCGGAAGGGTGCCACTGGTTTTCAGCACTGCAGGAAACATTGGCAAATGACACTTAGCATTTATTTTGAGGACTCGGTTTTCAAAGTGCGGTCCCCAGACCGGCAGCATCAGCATCACCTGAGAACTTGTTAGAAAAGCAAATCGTGGGTCTCACCCCAGACCTGCCGAGTCAGAACTTCTAGAGGTAGATGCAGCCTGGCACCCTGTGTTCTCACAAGTGCCCGAGGTCTGCACTGTCCAACAGGGTAGCCACTAGCCACAGACGACTATTTAAATTGATTACAATTAAATAACATTTAAAAGTCAGGTCCTCCCAGTTGCACTAGCCATATTTCAGGCATATTTCAGGTAGCCACGTGTGGTTAGCACATGGGACAGTCCATGCCGAACATTTCTATCCATCATTACAGAATTCGGCTGGACAGTGCTACTCTGGGTGATTCTCATACATGCTAAAGTTTGCCAACCGCTAAGCTAGGAAATAGTTTTCAGCCCTGCCTGCATATTAGAATCACCTGGGGGAGGGTCTGATGCCCCAGACCAATTAAAACAGATTGTTGTGGGGAGTTGCAGGCAGATGATAATTTTTCAAAGCCAAGGTTGAGATCCGCTGCACGAGTCTGTGCTTTTCCCACGACATTCCCGTTAAGTATTACGAGACCCTTACCAGGTGTGTGCTGTTACAACCGTCTGTGCTTCACCGAAGAGCATCTGACGGCACAGAGAGGTTGAGCTGCTTGTCCACGGTCACACTGCTGGACGCCACTGGGCGGAAGTCAGGCAGGCAGGCAGACGGAGTCGCCTGTGGTTTCTTGCCAGAGCGGAGCCTGAGGAAGCCTGTAGACTTGGGGACGGCTGCCTTGCAGTGACAGCTGCTTTTAATTTGTGTCAAGAAGAAAAGCCGCCTTTTAATTAGAACAGTTTGGGATTTTTTGCAGCCGCCAGACTAACCCAGTTACGATTAGTGCAGTCAGGGGAGGCAGAGCACATGTAGCTCTAGGCTTCCCTATGGGGCAGTTCCGCTCACGGAGGGGCTGTCAGGGAGAGTCGTTTCTTTGCCTGTCTCATGCGGAGTCTCCCAGAGGCAGTGGGCAGTCGATGCAAGAAGGAAAATCAGCCCTGGCCGGTGGTGTGAGCTCAGGGTCTACAGCCAGGCCTCCAGTTGCTTGGGAGGGAGCAACTTCCTCTCTGGAACTTGGGAGGTGGAGAGCAGTATTCTACTTCTGTTGACCAGCTTCCCCAAGGACCTCGATCGGCCTTTGGTCCTGCCGGTGCCTCCTGCTCCCTGGTCCCTTACTGTGGCCCTCGTAGGCTCTGCAATTGTCCAGCCTCCTCCTGGTGTCCCAGAACCGCTGTAGCAAGCCACCAGGAAGCCACAGCTATGTGATCCCTTCTTCATCTTCTGATCAGTGTTTGATACTTTCCCCACAGGTTAGCTGCTGCCACCACCAATCTTGGTGCTCCTAAAGGTCAGGGGTGACAGGGAGGGCTGGATTGGCAGCCCTCTGCAGCCCCTTCCAATCTGGAAATTTTGACTCCCCATAAAACAGAGGGCTCTCCTTGATCAATAACCCATCTTCCCATTAAATCAGAAACTCTAAAAGATGATGTGTTCTGTCTTTCTGATCAGACTGGGGGCAGGGACTAGAAAGATCCTCAAAGACAGGACCTTTGTCCATTATCTCATCTATCTCGTAGATGAGATAATGCACGCACAGAATAGGTCCTTGGTGTACGTCCAACCCCTGCCTCTGCCCCTCTGAAGAGGTCACCTGTAACTTCCTGGCTCCACCACCTTCCTGCCCCTTTTATTTCCTAGTGTTCAACTCCTTGGACATGTCGCGCTCTGTGTCGGTGACGACAGCTGGGCAGTGCCGCCTCGCCCCGCTGATCCAGGTCATATTGGACTGCAGCCACCTCTACGACTACACTGTCAAGCTTCTCTTCAAACTCCACTCCTGTGAGTACCCCGGCCTGGGTCTTCCGTGAGATTCAGGCCAGAAGGAGGGTCCCAGCCCAAGGATGCCCCCAGAGAAATGCAGCCCCTCTCTGTGGCTGTGGCTCTCTGCTTCTGTTCCAAAAGACCCTGGAGCTCTGACCATTGTGAGAATAGAAGAGCGGGGCCCACGCTTTGGTGTGCCCAGTAAAGCCCATGGCTGGCAGTAGATGTGTCTCAGGCTGGTCCTCTCCGTCTGCCTCCAGCTGGAGCACATTACCATTCATCAAGCATGTCAAGTATTTTAGGAACCGCGCAAATAACAGCACACCTGGCCTAGACCCACAGGAGCTAACGCAGTGATTTCCAAACCGTTCATCAACACAATCTCTGCACAAATGGAACTTTGCAGAGAAATATAAAATATAACACAGCGTCTCAGGTCCATGCAGGGCTGTTTCTTACCTGGCTCCAGATCCCAGGGTGCCCTCAGCAGAAAATACTTTAGAAACTACCGGTCTTACAGAAGTTCTTATTCTTTTGTGCACTTCTTATTTAAAATGATGTGTCTGAGCCGTAGTTCTTTAAATTAGTAGGTCTGGTAGGGTTTAGGTTCTGCGTATCCCCGGATAAATCTGATGTGAATGGTCCCTGGGCCACACTCCAAGGCGGCCACCATGCAGGGTACACGCATGCAGGGTGTGTGGATGATGGCAAACCAAGAAAAATCAAGACACGCGTCGATACTAGCAAGGTTTTGCACCGCAGAAGGGACAAGGATGTCCTATACTTTTACAAGTGTAGGACAAGGGATACTCTATAACTGTGGCCATTGACAAATAATAAACCTGGTTATTTAAACAGGGCAAGAAAGTAGCATCACTGATTAATCCAAGATGGTTTCATGGAACGGAGATGGGAATTTGCTGTTCAAGGATTAGAAAGGCTTTGGAGCAAGTAGGTGGGCCCGAAGGGAGCAGAGGGCAGACTGAGCCCCAAGAGAAGAAGGGAGGTGGCTGCTTAGAAGCGCCAAACACAGATGAACTTGTATTGTTTGCAAGATGCTACAGAACACAATTGCCCAGTAGAACATCACCACTGTCTTCTTACAAAGTGGGAAGTGAAGAAGCAGGTAATTATTAATAAGTATTTGGATGTATGGGCCTTCGTTAAAGGCAGGGCAGCTCACGAGACCCACACTGCTTGCCTCTGGACAGGGGAGCCGCGGCCAGGGAAGGGGTAGGAGAGACACTCTGTACAGTATATACTTTACTAAAAATAGACTTTTGTTTTAGAGTCACAGGAAAAGTTACAAAGAGAGTACAGAGAGTTCCCATATACCCTGTATCCAGCTTCCTCTGTTGTTAATGTATTAGTGCAATATGTTTGTCACAACTAATGAACCAGCACTGACACCTTGTTGTTAACTAAAGTCTATACTTCGTTTGGATTTCCACTGTTTTTACCTAATACCCTTTTCTGTCCCCGGTCTCATCCAGGACACAATATGACATTCAGTTGTCATGTCTCCTTAGGCTTCTCTTGGCTGTGACCATTTCTCAGACTTGCCTTGTTTTTGATGACCTTGACAGTTTTGAGTACCCGTCAGGTTTTTTGGTAGAACATCCCTCAATTTGTTTTTTTCTGATGTTTTTCTCCTGATTTGACTGAGGCTAAGAGTCCTTGGGAGAAAGACCAAGGAGGTAAAGTGCCACATCCCTCCACTGTCCACTGTCGCCGTATGGAATGGTCATGCTTCATACGTGTGCTCCCTGCTTATACCACATGCATGTATCACCCATTTAAAAAAACAACTAGAATTTAAATTTAAATAAGAGAGCAAAACTCAAAGGATTGCTGAGCTGTGATCTATAGCTGAAATACAGACTCACACAATCTGGGAGGTGAAAGGACCTCAGAGAACCAGCTCTGCACGGGAGGAGACTGGCCCTAAGAGGCCACTGCTTGTGCGGCGTTGTAGAGCTGGCTAGTGACCAAGCCGGGACTGGATCTAGGTTCCCTGAGTCTCGGTCCTGTGTCCTTTGCCTTATGACAGGCATCCTGTCAGGCAGGCCGTGTGGATCTGTCCCAGACTAACATCAGTCCTGAGCCTCAGCCCAAAACGTACAGTGGTGCTGAGCATAGAGCACATGGGAGAGAACCGCCCCCCTAGGGCCTGCTGTGTGGTCAGGTCACCACTGCTTCTGTGGCCAGGGACACAACTTCTGTCCCACTGTGCCCAGGAGCAAACTACAGTGGAAGGATTTAAGGATGATCATCCGTGGCCCTTATCGAAGCTGCAGCTGCTTCCACATAGCTGCTGTGGTCAAAAAGGAGCCCAGAGTGACAGTTTTCCTTGACGGTCGCCGTTCTGTTTGCTGTAACTGATCTGCAACATTTTGGGAAAATACAGTTTCACTGTACCTGCCATTTTAAAAAAAACAAAAAAGGGGGATGATCATCCCCGCATCCCTGCTGGTCCTCCTGGGCTCTGTTGGGTACCAGTCCTCAGGGACACTTTAGGCCAGGAATGGCCCCTGGCAGGACTGGCCACGTGCCCCGGAATGGCTGGTCTCCTCCCTCCAGAGCCCCGCTGTGGCTTGCCTGCCCTCTGGTCCTCTCCTTCCCACTCACACTCTTTCCAATTTCTTGCAGGCCTCCCAGCTGACACCTTGCAAGGCCACCGGGACCGCTTCATGGAGCAGTTCACAAAGTAAGTGGCTTGAGTGACAGAGAGGAAGGCGGGTCAAAGAGTGCTGTAAAATCAGTGCAGCTGTGCAGGAGCGCCTGCTTTAACGTGCTGGAGGGGCGAAGTTATGTGCATTTTAAGGTGACAAAGTGACAGAAAATAGCTCAGACAGCAGCAAACCTGCCAGTGGCTGGGGGAGCTGTTGGTTCTCTGATAAATCACATGGAAGCATATAGAAGAAACAGATTTCATCCATTCATCAATCACCTGCTTTGTGCCCAAGACGTCATCTTTTTCTTTTTCCTCTCCCTAAGTTCTGGTCTTGTAGCATTTACATGCTGACAACTCTTAACTATGTATCTGTAGCTGAAACTTCTAGATTCAGTCTCACGTGCCTGATTTGACATCTATACACCAGATGTAAATCTCAAACTGAACTCTAGATTTTCCCAAAAAAACCTTTCTCTCCCTAATCCTTTCTATCTCAGTACGTACTGCTGCCATTTAGGCCAGAGATCTGGAACTTGCCATTTTCTTCATCCCCATGTGCAATCCGTTAGCAGGTGCAGGTGATAACCCTACAATATGTCTTTTTCCTTCCACATTTCCATCTCTTCCACTACCTGCCAGGTAGCTGCCTGCCAGAACCCTCCAATATTGACCGGCCTCCTGGGCTTCCACTCTGCCCCCTGCAATACAGTCCTCACCCAGCGGATAGAACACCCTGTAAGAACATAAATCCCTTGCTCAAAACCTCGTGATGGCTCCTGGTTACATGTAGAATAAAATCTAAGCTCTTCTTCGTGGCCTGGCCCCTGCCTGCCCTTCTGACCTTGTTTCTGTTGCTCACGGTGCATCAGCTACTTGGGGTCTTCTTTCCATTCCTGGAACATCAGGGCCTCTGCACTTGCTCTTCCCTCTTCTTGGGGTGCTTTTCTCCCAGCCTGGCCAGCTCCTGGTCATGTTTTGTCACCTCGTCAGAAGGGCAGGCTCTGACCCCCTTATGTAAATCCGGTCATCTTCCCCGCTCCTCTTCCTCCAGCCCAACCCCACCCCAAAGATCTCTGCCATGGCACCCTTTGTGTTTCCATCATAGTTCCTGGCACGGCTGTTTTTTCTATTTGGCCTTTTTGACCATTATTATATCCCTAGCACCTGACAAATAGCAGTCCATGAAACAAAGGTGCTCAATAAATTTTTGAATGAATTAATGAACTCATCAGCCAGCGATCTCATCTAGGAGAGGAAGAGCTTGTCTGACTGGGGAGTAGATTATTCTGGTGCATTTGGGGAGACGAAGTGGTGAGTAGATGAGAAGTAGAGCCCATCCTTCAAGAAAGCATGTCCAGGAAGGGGAAGGATGGAGGAAGCTGAGAAGGGCATCCTGGCTTATCTCTCTATATTTTGACCCTCTTGTTTTTCTTGTTAATTTCCTCATCCTTGATGGCAGCACCTAAATCCCAAGTTGAGGCTTCTCTCGCTGGTTGCCCAGGGGCAATCACAGGACAAGTGCAGGGTTATACCAACCCTCCGGTTTTCCCTGTTCCCTTCCATAAGCCTAGTACACGTTCTATGATAAATGACTTACTAAATCTTAGGAGACAGGCCCCGGGGCTGATTTCCTGGAATGTTAAATTCCGGTAGCTTGTGAAAGCAGTCGGGCTATTACTGTTGGCTCCGGCCCAGAAAGATGGGGACGTGTGGTCAGGTGATTTGATTTCCTTTCATTTTTCTCTGGCTTATGAAAACACCTCCTGGGGGAGCCGCCTCACTTTCTCTTCCACACAGACACGCTGCTCTCCGAGGCCTCACTGCCCTTGAACTCAGGGAAAGCAGCAATGACGTCACAGGGACAGACCTAACTCTCTTGGTGTCTGACAGGCTGTAATGAGACCCTGGGGGTTTAGTTTTTTGGTCTGGGCTAGAGAAAATTCTGTGCTGCAGGTAGAGAGTGCCGAGTTTCATCTCAGAATAGTAAGTCTGGATGCTCTCAGGTTTTTTGGTCTTCAGCCTTTATTTAGATTCAAAATAGAGCTGGGGGCAGTGGCTCATGCCTGTAATCCTAGCACTTCTGGAGGCTAAGGCAGGAGGATCACTTGAGGCCAGGAGTTCAAGACCAGCCTGGGCAACATAGCAAGACCCCATCTCTACTGAAAAAAAAAAAAATTAGCCAGATGTGGTGGCGCACCCTATAGTCCCAGCTACTCGGAATGCTGAGGCGGGAGGATCGCTTGAGCCCAGGAGCTTGAGGTTACAGCGAGCTATGATTGCACCACTGCACTCCAGCCTGGGGGACAGAGCGAGACCCTGTCTCTAAAAAAAATACCAACAACAACAAAATAGAGATTTGGGAATGAGAAAAAAAAAAAGTTGATTTCTTCATGCCCATATTCATCTGAGATTAGGGCATAGATTGTTTTTCTGCCTGGTACTGTGGTAAAACTAGCTCAACAAGGCTTAGTCTCCACTCTCTAGGAACTTACGGTCTAATTGAGGAGATAACAAGTAGCTCAAAAACAAGCAGAGGTCATTAAAAAGAGATCTACATTAGTAATTAAGTTCCCTTCCCTTTCCTATGGTTAGTTAGTTTATGCTCAAAGAAAGTAATTTATTTTAATGTTACTGTAAGCCCAATATTCCCAGGCAGGTAAATCTGCAAAAGAATAGCACATATTCCACAGTGATGAAGAAGGTAGTTTTTGGGTTATCTGCTCTTCCAAAGGATTCTGGCATGAATTAGTCCTTTCTCACCAGCAGACAGCTAAGGATTGGCCGTGAATGACCTTCTCGGTAGCATCATAATTGACTCCTAGCGCCATGGAGTTCATCTCCTTGACAGCCTGTGCCTTGGGGCTGGGTAGGGCACAGGAAGCCTGAGTGGCTGCTCTGTCCCCTCCCTGGGGCTGCTAAAGACACCCAGCACCCCTCGGGCCCTTCTCCACCCCTAGGTTGAAAGATCTGTTCTACCGCTCGAGCAACCTCCAGTACTTCAAGCGGCTCATTCAGATCCCTCAGCTGCCCGAGGTGAGTGTGCCTGGCCACGCCCTGGGCACTGCGGAGTCCCAGGCGCTCTTGGAGGCTGGCAGGGCCTGGCACCATTTGAGGATGTTTCTCTCCTCTTCAGAACCCACCCAACTTCCTGCGAGCCTCAGCCCTGTCGGAACACATCAGCCCTGTGGTGGTGATCCCGGTGGAAGCCTCGTCCCCTGACAGCGAGCCGGTCTTGGAGAAGGATGACCTTATGGACATGGACCCCTCCCAGCAGGTGGGGACCACATGGGAGAGAAACGTGGCCCTTCCCATTGCCCACAAGTGCAGGGAAAGGCTGGGTGAGGCCCCCACCAAGGCTAAGTGGCTCTAACCAGGTTCAGCCTTTTCTTAGACTGAGCACCCTGCCTGTGGTTCAGTCATAAGTGAGTCTGACCCAGGTTAAGAAAGGGGACCTTCTGATATGCCTCTGGTTTGACCCACACATGGAAATCTCTGGCTCTCTTAACGTGTTCTCACTCCCTTTGGTCACCACAGAATTTATTTGACAACAAGTTTGATGACATCTTTGGCAGCTCGTTCAGCAGTGACCCCTTCAATTTCAACAGTCAGAATGGCGTCAACAGGGATGAGAAGTGAGTCCCAGCTGGGTTCCAGCAGATGGTGCAGGAGCTAAGTTAAGCCGTGATCTTCCTCACGACACCTGGCCAGGGAGGGACTTCAGTGATACTTGGGGCTTCCTAGATAAAGGATGTCCTGATCCTCACATCTTGGCCCCTTCAATTCCAGAACAAAACCAGTAACTGTGGGCCTGTGGGTATTAGATTAGCAGTGAGTAACGCTTAAAGTAACATCATTTATGGAGTTTCAAGGAATTGTCCCCAAATAAATACAAGCTTTTGACTTGTATTTGTACTTGTAATGTGAGCTCCCGGCCCACATTACAAGGAGAGAGGTGGAAGCAAACTCGTTCTTCCCCCAGGGACCACTTAATTGAGCGGCTGTACAGAGAGATCAGTGCGCTGAAGGCACAGCTGGAAAACGTAAAGGCCGAGGTACGTGACGGGGTCTGCTCTGTCACCAAAATGTGGCATATTTTGATGTTAAATTTGCGTCATGTAGGTACTTGTTGGACCACATCCTGAGGCCAGGTTAATTAGTAGAAATGCTGAAGGCTGAAGAACCCGGTCTTCCCGCGGCCCCATTGTGACGCATGGCCATTGTGTGTGCCTTGAGAGCAGCATTTGGGCCAGGCGCAGTGTCCCCTCCATGCCCAGAGATGGCTTTGGTCACCACCTGTCTAGGAGGCTGTGGCGACAAGACAGGTCCTTCTCAGGTGGCAATAAGAAGAGTTGGGTTTCTAGCTGTGGTGTCTGGTGCTGTATCGATGACTGCCCCTCAGAGCTGTGGCTGGTCACGTGACTTTACTCACAGGGACAGCCACGGTGTCCTCACCTTCCTTCTTCCGGCTTGTCCTCCACCACCCCTGGCCACTCTTCCTAGGACCGGGACTCCCTGGCCACCATCCCCTATGGGAGGTGGTTGGCTCATAATGACCAGAAGGCCCCACTGTCTCGAGACCTCAGGAGCTGGCCCATCAGGGGACTAGGTATTTACTCGGCGAGTGCAGGAAGCCAGTAGGACCCGCTTCTGCTGCCCAGCACCCCGCCCCATGGCAGTGGACGACTGGCCTCGTGACCTGAGTCCCCCCGCAGGGCCAGCGGGCCGTGCTGCAGCTGAAGGGTCGCGTCAGCGAGCTGGAAGCCGAGCTGGCGGAGCAGCGGCACCTGCGGCAGCAGGCGGCCGACGACTGCGAGTTCCTCCGGGCAGAGCTGGACGAGCTCCGGCGGCAATGGGAGGACACCGAGAAGGCTCAGCGGAGCCTGACCGAGATAGAGAGTGAGAGGCCGCCCGGCAGGCTGGGGGGTGGGCTCGGGGTCGCATCTAGCTAGATCGGCATTAGAGGCAGAGCTGAGCGGCAGAGCCCTAGCCCCACGTCTTTCTGGCAGCTCTGTCAGGAATGCCACCTGCCGCCGTCAGCCCAAAGGGCAGGTTTGAGTCCAGAAGGTACAGCCCGTCGGAGGCACCGCTGAGCACAGGGGTGGGGACTACAGAAGGTGACGCTGGAGCGCTGCCCTGGGAGTGCGCACCCAAAGGAAAGGGAGACCGGCCAGAGAGCCTAAGAGTAAAATTGACATGAAAGCCGAAAGCCCTGATACGATTAATGCGGTGTATGTAAATGCGGAGGACGCGCGAATCCCTGGCGAGGTCCTAATGCGATGAATTCTTCTTTTTAAAGACAACCTCCCAGAGAAGTTGATTTAAGTAGGATTTTTGAGGGAGAAGAGGGTACACGCATTTGTGGAAGGAAAGGAGGATCTCTAGGGACCCTGGCTAACGGGAAGGAGGGCAGAGGCCCCCCCAGGGCAGACTCTCCTCACCTTGGTGCCTGACCGTGCAGGGAAGGCGCAAGCCAACGAGCAGCGGTACAGCAAGCTGAAGGAGAAGTACAGCGAGCTGGTGCAGAACCACGCCGACCTGCTGCGGAAGGTAGGACCGCGGACCCTGGGCCTGCGGGAGAGAACCGCTCAGGCCCCACGTTTCTAGGGGGCTGCCACCGTCCCCTGGGAACCTCAGCTTTTCAAGCTCTCCTGCCTCCTGTGCCTTGTGCCAGGCCCACCGTCTTTATTATTTTGTAAATACCCGAGAGTCGAGTATCTGAAAGTTACAGCTTTATCCTCGCTTCCCCCTGGACAGGAAAGCGATTCCTGTATCCGACTCTAGGCCGCTCATGCTCTGCATGCGATCGTTTGTCCTAGAAGGGAGAGAGGTCCTTTAAGGCTGAGATCAGCCAGTTCAAGACAATGTTCTTCCCTTCCAGAATGCAGAGGTGACCAAACAGATGTCTGTGGCCAGACAAGCCCAGGTAGATTTGGAACGAGAGAAGAAAGAACTGGAGGGTACCTTGGAGCACATCAGTGACCAGGGCCAGCGGAAGGTGAGCGGAAGACGTACCCTGGAAACAAAAGGGGTATCTGTCGAGTCGGTGGCAGGTGGGGACTTTGTGGTCTGCTGCTCCGTGGGCAGTTCTGTGGGTTGGTTGGCACCACACAGCTGGGAGGGTATCACAGGAGGCCACACAGAACAGCAGGACACGGTCACCAGCACACACACAGGTTAGGGGCACAAAACAATGGAAGGACCCAAGCTGGGTGGGGCTCATCCAAAAAGGCTGTCCGGGGGCGAGGCTCGAGGACAGTGTGACGATGGGAAAACAGGGACAGCAGAGAAAGGCGAGCATTTGCAGAGACTTGCAGGTGGGAGGACACCGTTGTATTGGGGTGGGGCCGGCAGGCAGGCCAGAGGCTGAAAGGCCAGTAGGAGATGTGGGATGGAGAAAACCGGGTGCCTTGGACATAGAGGGTGCCTTTCACATTTTTCTGTGAACCCACATTAAAAAAAATGTGTCTATCTCATGGAAATGAAAATTTTACCAAGCAATACTTGCCCTTACCACCTGAATTTATTTGGATATTTTTCTGTTCTGTTTAATGCATCGTTTAAGATGCTAACTGCAAATTCTTACTAATGGTTCCCAACCTGCTCTTTGAAAAACACCACTTAGAAAAGAAATCAAAGAAAAGGAATCATCTCAAGATGTTGAGATGCTGTAGCTCTGCAATATAGCAGGTGTTGGGCTCCCGAAAGAAAGACCCAGTTCAGCTGTAGGATTAGGGGCTCAGGCATGAGGTTTGGGAAGTGTCCCTAAAATTCCTCCTTTGACATTCTACTTAGCCAAAAGTACCTCTGGGGTCTCACCTCCTCCCTACTGTCCCCCAAGCCCAGGCACTTTTTCTTGGGGTATAACTTACACACAGCAGGATTCACAGATCCCTCACTGGTAGCTTGGGCAATTTTTACATTTGTATATCCCTTGCAACCACCACCCAGATGACAGTCCTCCTGTTTTCTCCTCTTTCAGACTCAAGAACAGCTGGAAGTTCTAGAGAGCTTGAAGCAAGAACTTGCCACCAGCAAACTAGAGCTGCAGGTCCTCCAGAACAGCCTGGAAACTTCTGCCCAGGTGAGCAGCTCCTTTTTCTGCCTTCCTGTTAGCTTCAGTATTGCTGTCACCCAGCATCCTGCACATGGCCATGCTGGCCCCAGCCAGCTGTGGTGTCCCTGGGAGGAATGAGAATGGCAGGTTAAAGAGATATCACCTCCTGTTCCTTGTGGACAGGTGGTGGGTTGAGCCTCTGGGAAGGGGACAGTTTAATTCGTCCAGCATCTCCCTCTTCCCACCTGGTCGCTGTTGCAGTCAGAAGCAAAATGGGTGGCCCAGATCACCAACCTCGAGAAGGAACGGGCCAGCCTTGTGAGTTCTGCAGCTTCTCGGGAGAAGGAATTGTCCACCCTTCAGGAACAGCTGGAACACGCCCAGCTCAAACTGGCCAGCTCGCAGGCAAGTAACGGAGGCCCAAGCAGGCTGACCCCCTGTGAACTCACACTGATGGGCTGCAGTGTATGCACGGAGGCAGGCGGGGGGCAGGGAGGGCGCCGTGAAGGGGCTGGAGGCCTTGGCCCGATGGTGAAGGCACTCTGTAGGCCTGGCTCCTTCTGCCGGCACGCCCCGCATCATCCACAGAGCCAGCAGAGGAAAGCAAAGCACTCTTGTTTTCATACAAGAAGGGAAGCTTCCCAGGAGTGAGAATGGGTTGCAGTGGTCCTTCCCTGGAGGCGGCGGTAGCACGCACCTGTGGACAGAGTAAAAGCATTTGTCTGTGTCAAGCTAACTGGCTTGGACCTCATTAGCAACACCCCGAGCTGAGATGCCAGGAGCCCAAGCCAGGTCACAGGTGATGCTACTCAGGCTCATTTTGGGGTCTGGGGCAGACTCTCACCACCCCGGACCGTTTCTAGGAGTCTATGTGCCAACTCAAGAAAGACCAACAGAAAATGCTTCTCGTGGAGTCAAGGAAGTCTGCAGAGCAGGTGATACAAGAGGCCCTGAGCCAGCTCGAAGAACCCACGCTCATCAGCTGCGCTGGGTCTGCAGGTACTCCTCCAGTCGCCCAGCTTGCGACTGGTCCTTAAAGCCTGATGCTACCTGTTGGCGTTGAATCCCATGTGAAACTGAGCTCAGGGGTCCTCAGCCCAGCCGTGTGTCAGAATCACCTGGGGTGCCCAGGCTCCAATATAGATCAACTGTCTGCAGTGGAGGGCCTGAGCAGTAGCATTTTCTAAAGCCCCCAGGTGTAACAGCCACTGCTTTCGTCAGTGGGTCACACTGATGAAACATCCCCTGGGAGCAGAGCCCTGAAACAACTGTGACAACAAATAGAAGGAGGCACAGACAGTTCTGTGTCCTCTATGGGGAAACTATGGTCTGAATCAAGACACAGTTGCTCATAAACTTCAAGTCTAGGCAGGGAAGCATGAGAAAACTTGGAGTGGCAAAAACAATAAAAATCCCAGCATGAGCTGGGTGCAGTGACTTATGCCTGTAGTCTAGCACTTTGGAGGCCAAAACAGAGGTTTGCTTGAGGCCAGGAGTTTGAGACCAGCCTGGGCAACATAGTGAGACCCCATCTCTATAAAATTTTTTAAACAATTAGCCAGGAGTGGTGGCGCATGCTGGTAGTCCCAGCTACTCAGGAGGCTGAGGTTGGAGGATTGCTGGGCTTGAGCCCAGGAATTTGAGGTTACAGTGAGCTATGATTGTGCCACTGCACTCCAGCCTGAGCAACGGAGCAAGACCCTGTCTCTAAAAACAAAAATAAAAACACAACACCCAGCGTGACTACAGGGAGGAAGGGCCCACCACCCACTGTGCGTGTAGGCGAGTCCCAAGGAAAGGGCAGGGCTTTGTGCACAGTAGAGGGGGAGCGCTCAGGCACAGGGGGTTTGTGAGGTTGTGGACGTGAGCACGAGCAGATCTCATCACAGCTCACTTTCAAGCCTAGGGCCCATGTTGGCAACGTAACAAGAGGTCCCTCTGAAAGACGAAGCAGAAGGCAGGAAACAGCTGACACTCGATTTTTATCATCAAATCGAAAGGTCCTGATTTGATGAAGTATTCAGCAAGGACTATTATAGCTTATTCAGCAGGGAACCCGTCTGCGAAGAAACGCAGCAGTTACAAATGAAAGAGCACGCTGGGTACCTCATTTACTGAGGGAATGCCAGGAACTGGGGCACCGTGGGCGGATTCTGAGAAGAGACGTTATGTTATGAGCTGGGTTTTGAAAGAAGAAGACAGTTAGGAACCAGTGAAGAGAAGGAAAGGTGGGGGTGAAAATAATAAAAACAGCTGACGTTTACTGAGCGCTTCCTATGCACTTCACTAAGGGCACTCGCCCAAGCACATTACATGCCTGGGCCCAGCCAGTCCTCCCAGGGACACCGCCAAGGGGTCCTGCGTTCCCCTGTTTGCAGATGGGGAAGCAGGCACAGGCTGCCTGAGGTCACACGGCCGGGAATGGTAGAGCACGGGGCCACACCGGGGCAGTGGGACTTGAGAGCCCACACTTTTAACTTGTGTGCTGCACGCTCTGCATGGCCCTGTGGACTCAGGGCAGTGGGCGTGACTGTTGCGTGCAGAGCATGAGTATAGACTGGCCTAAGCGCCAAAGGTCTGGGCTCAAGAGCAGTGAGACACAGAGGGCCTCGGGAGACTTCACAGGAAAGCCCAGATTTCATATGAGGGGCAGTATTGAGAAATCCTTGGCTAAGGGACCAGATAGGCTCAGCTTCTCCAGTAAGAGAATCACACACATCACATCAGTACCAGCGTAGCCAACAATCTCCCTTCTCTTATCTCAGGGCAACTCCTGCGGGGCTGGGGCCACTCACTCAGCAAGCTCCTCCCTCTGGTGGCTTAACTAACAAGGGTGAAGCGAGCTAGGAGAACCCGCTCTGAATTTGCCCTGTCTTGTCTCTCACAGATCACCTTCTCTCCGCGGTCAAGTCTGCTTCCAGCTGCATCGATCGACTGGAAAAAAGCTGGAGCCAGTATCTGGCCTGCCCGGAAGGTAGGAAGGGCACGGGACAGGCTCCGTCGTTGGTGCCGGCCAGGTGGGGTTCAGAAGCACTTGAATATGTGAATACTGACGGGTTCCTGTGCACCAGGAAAGGAGTGTGTATAACTCCTACAGCCAGGGCAGAAAGGGGTATGAGAGTGACACCCTCAGCCAGGCCTGAGAAACTTTCCCTTTTACACTCCTGGCAGATATCGGTGGGCTTCTCCATTCAATAATCCTGCTTGCCCATTTGACCAGTGACACCATTGCTCACGGTAGCACCACCAGCCTTAGAAGCCCGCCGGAGCCTGCTGACTGTGAGTACCAGGGCGTGAGGGGCCATTCATAAAAGCTGGGAGCGGAGGGCTTTTACGAGTAAGTCTCTGTCACCTTGCGTCTCCAGCTCTGACAGAGGCCTGTAAGGAGTACGGCATGGAGACCCTCATCTACCTGGCCGCCCTGGAGGAACAGGGAACCGTTGAGGATGCCGACAGCACAGCCATGAGGAACTGCCTTAGCAAGATCAAGGCCATTGGCGAGGTACTTTCAGTATTATTGAGGAAAGTTCTTGGGTGTGAGTGCTGGTGCATTGCCCAGGAAGCAGTGATGTTCTAAGCCAGTTCCTTCTGTACTTACAATTTGATTCTATTTATTTTATTTTATATATTTTTTTTTATTTTTTAGAGACAGAGTCTTACTCTGTTGCCCAGGCTGGAGTGCAGCAATCACAGCTCACTGCAGCCTCGAACTCCTGGGGTCAAGTGAGCCTTCCGCCTCAGCCTCCCGAGTAGCTGGGACTACAGGTGCGCGCCACCATGCCTAGTTTTAATTGTCTGTAGACGTGGGGTCTCATTATGTTGCCCAGGCTGGTCTCGAACTCCTGGCCTCAAATGATCCTTCCACCTCGGCCTCCCAAAGCGCTGGGATTATAGGCATGAGCCACTGTGCGTGGCCACAGCTTGATTCTAGAAAGAGAGAGTTAGAGCTGGAAAATCTGACCCCCTGACTGACTACCCAGTTATATTTAATTCACTATTAACTGATAATCTATGTCATCATCACCATGCCAGGCAAAACCCTGTCTCCAAGGATTTTTATCTGGTTGGGCAAGTTTCACCTAAAATGGAGATAATTGTGTTATTTTTTCATTTGGTAAAGTTGTAGTGAATGTGTCCTATGAAGCAGAAATTAGGTTAGGTGTAGTTATATAGGGACAAATGAGATAAGGACTTTATGGGATTGAAAAACAAGAAAATTAACCATTTCTATACAATGTGATAAGAACTGTAATAAAGATCTATTTTAAGAGCACAGGACGAGGGCTGGGCTCCATGGCTCACGCCTTTATCCCCAGCACTTTGGGAGGCTGAGGCACGAGGATTGCTTGAGACCAGAAGTTCAAGACTAGCCTAGGCAACAGTGAGACCTCATCTTGACAGAAAAAAAAAATTAAAAAATGAGCTGGGCATGGTGATATGCGCCTGTAGTCACAGCTACTTGGGAGGCTGAGGCAGGAGGATCGTTTGAGCCCAGGAGTTCGAGGCTGCAGAGAGCTATGATTGCACACTGTACTCTAGCCTGGGCAACAGAGTGAGACCCAGTCTCCAAAAAAAAGTACAGTACAAGGTAGCATTTAATTAATTCCTCAAATGTGTGATAATAAGGGGAAGGAAGAGCCTGGGCCAGACTTCAGATCCTTTTTCTCTTTCATTTAGACTCTTAAAACAGCCTCTAATTAGTTTTCCAGCCTCTGGCCTCTTTCCTCTGCTGTCTTCCCAAAACAGAGATCTGATTATATCTTTTATTTAATAACAAAAATCAAACTAAAACACAGATACTTTCAAAAACCACGGGCTTTGCTATCCGTCAACACTTTGTTCCAACAGGAATAGTGACTACCTCCTACGACTGCTACGGAAGCAAAGTTAAATTAGGGTCAGACTGGTTGGAAGATATCATCTGTATTTGGAGAAGTTTTAAAAATACCTTCCACGTTAGCAAATATAATTTACAGTGCGCAAACAGGGGCTGGGTTCCAGGCAGCGGTGGCTTTCTGGAAGGAGGTGGGCTCTGAGTGAGGAGCAGTGTGAGGTTCCGGAGTTGACGTGAGGACTGGACGAGGTCCGTGAAAGATGCCCCCCTTTCTGTGGCTTGCAGAAAGTGTCCGGCGGCGGTTGGTGGGGTGCCCTCCTACCTCTGCTGTCTTTTAAGGGTTACGGGTCTACCAGAGGAGGAGAGAGAGGAGGCCTGGGGTCATTTCAGCCTTTGTGATGTTCTTCACAGGAGCTCCTGCCCAGGGGCCTGGACATCAAACAGGAGGAGCTGGGAGACCTGGTGGACAAGGAGATGGCAGCCACTTCAGCTGCCATTGAAACCGCCACGGCCAGAATAGAGGTATGGCAGCTTCCGCAGGATCTCCCGAAGCGATGCTCCGGGGGCTGCCCTTTGGCAACGTTGCCCATTAGACGTGCCTCAGTTGTTCACTGTGGCTGCAGAGGCCCCCTACAAAAGAAACCGAAACCCGAACCCATGGGCTTCTCTGGGGGGTAGAAAATGAGAAGCCCTTCTGGAAGGAGGGTGGGCAGCTTCCTCGGGGATCTGGTACTTTGGTGTCAGACCATCCTGCGTTCACGTTCTGGAATGACCACTTATTAGCCATGTAACTTGGTTAAGTTTCATTCACCTCGCCAAGATTCAGATTCTGTTTCTACGTGATGGGAGTGATAGTAACGCCTACCCCAGAGGGCCGTTGTAAGAGTTAGGTGGGATCATGCACGTTTATCTCCATGCCAGGCACTCAGTAAATCAGTGGCACCCCTAATCAATGGTAACGATTCTCTCAGAAAAAGCTGGGTGGGCACCACAGAGAAGGTCACATGTCGCTCCTTTGGTGGAAGACTCAAGCCACCTGCCGTGGTGTGAACACCTGCCGTAGGACCTGGTGATCGCTGCCCCTTTGACACGGAGCTGTGGCTCTACGCGTATCAGCCTGGCTGCCAGGACGTCGAGACACTCAGCGGACTGTAGAGCCAGCGTGCTGGGGCTGTGTCCCCCCTCAGTGCACTGGAGTCTGATTCTTTTCCTGACTCGCTCAAGGACGTGGATGGGGACTTCTAGATTCGGGTTTCCCCGCTACCACAGGATGTCATACTCAAAGTGTGGCAGGACGTCAGTAGATTCTCAGTACTCATGACGTATTTAGAAACCGCGCTTCTTTTTCACAGGAAATGCTCAGCAAATCGCGAGCAGGAGACACAGGAGTCAAATTGGAGGTGAACGAAAGGTCAGTCAAGCAGCACGCAGCACCCGGGGAGCAGGAGCCATCGTCATCGTGGGGGAGGACCTGTTAGGGAATTAGCCTAGCACATCAGCAGCCACGGGAAGGCCTGAGTCTATATAACTGTTGAGGACAGCAATATTACTGTTGCAATATAGTGGAAAAGAAACCCCAGGAATCATGACTTAACTGTTCCTTACGAAGAAAATCCACAATCACATCTTCTCACTCCCCTGCTGCTCCTTCGGGACTCCATCCCAGAGCATTCTAGCAAGGTCGGCGCCATCCCTGCCTCTCTTCCCCACTCCAAGCTTGCCTGTGACTGGGAGTGAAAAAGAGAACTGTCGTCTTCATTGTTCTTAGTCTCTGTGTGTCCCTGACTTTTTTTGGGTTTTTTTTTGCAGGATCCTTGGTTCCTGTACCAGCCTCATGCAAGCTATTCAGGTGCTGATCGTGGCCTCTAAGGACCTCCAGAGAGAGATTGTGGAGAGCGGCAGGGTGAGCGTGGGTGACAGATTCCCACTTCCCTGAACTCTAGTGATGCTGCCGTCTCATCTGCGTGTCCACATGAGGGTGTAGCTGCCGCTCCCGTGGGCATCAGCAGATGCCGTGTGGAGAAGCCAGGGCCCTCGCAGCTCCCAAGGGGGTGGTCAGTCATAGCTCCCAGAGCCAGCTCCCAAGTCATTGGAACTTGCCGTGGAAGCCACTTTCATTGCAAGTCGGGGCCCTCTGGGGAAGATGTGAGGACTTTTGGAAACTGGACAGATCCCAAGAGCAAACTTGATCCTGACTTTTCACAGGGAGCTCCGCCAGGTCTGTTTTCAACAGCCGGGTTAACTTGCTATAATTCACAGACAGACCATGCTGTCAGCCTCTTGTGGACAGGTCACTTCATGTTCTCATGCCTTTGCTGGCATTATCGTCATTATTTTTCCCTCACATCCCTGTAATGCAGCTGCGGCCTTGGAAGCCTAAGTCCAGGGAGGGAGTTATGAGCCTGGAAACAGTCCTATAAAGAAAGCAGCCGTGTCTGCTTTGGTGGTGCTTTTTATCAGACCAAGCAGCGATGCTTTCTGTCCCTAAAATAGATGGATTGAGTATCTGCAGAGTCTCAGGCTATCAGACACTTCCAAAGCATAGCAACATTTTTTAAATCAAAGTAGAAATAATTTTTTGAGGCCAAGCATGAGGGCTCACACCCATAATTCCAGCACTTTGAGAGGCCCAGGTGGGAGGATTGCTTGAGGTCAGGAGTTCAAGACCAGCCAGGCAACATAGCAAGATGCCGTCTCTACAATCAATCAATCAATCAATCAACCAATTTTTTTTTTTTTTTTGAGATAGTCTCACTCTGTTGCCTGTGCTAGAGTGCCATGGTGTCAGCCTAGCTCACAGCAAGCTCAAACTCCTGAGTTTAAGCAATCCTCCTGCCTCAGCCTCCCGAGTAGCCAAGACTGCAGGCAAGGTCATGATGCCTGGCTAATTTTTTCTATTTTTTGTAGAGACGGGGTCTTGCTCTTGCTGAGGCTGGTCTCGAACTCCTGAGCTCAAGCAACCCTCCTGCCTCGGCTTCCCAGAGTGTTAGGATTACAGGCATGGGCCACCATGCCTGGCCAAAAAATAAATAATTTTTAAAAATTATTAACTGCATACTCTCCTCTTCTGACAAATCATGGAGAGCCAGCTAGACTTCCCTGAAATTATAACTTTTTCATATACAAACACATATATGTATTCTTATATAAAATACAGAAACATTATGCTATAATAGAAATGCTACATACAGGTTTTAGAGTCAGAAAAGCCCAGGATTTCCATTTATTTACTGCATAGCCTTGGGAAAAGCATTTTTGTCTCTCTGAACCTTAGTTTTCTTATTTGTAAAATAGGAATAAAATAATGCTTACCTCTGAGAGTTACTGTGAAGATGATATGGATAATACATATGAAAGCATTTGTCATGTAGTAGGTACTCAATAAAAGATAGCTATTATTATTTTTTTTTTTACTTCCGTAGGGTACAGCATCCCCTAAAGAGTTTTACGCCAAGAACTCTCGATGGACAGAAGGACTCATCTCAGCCTCCAAAGCTGTGGGCTGGGGAGCTACTGTCATGGTGTAAGTGTCTGTTGGTCCCAAGGCTCCTCCCCCCTACTCATTCCATTGATCCACCCCAAACCATAGCTAAGGGAGAAAAATCTGTCCCCTAGAAATGAACTGTTGATAAGGAAGTGAAAACTTTGCCAGGGAGCCTGGGTCTCCCGGGTGATGCAGAGCAGGCAGGCCCCTCCCTGTCTAGCAGGGCAATGGGGGTGTCTGGATGTGGGGTCGTGAGGGCTGCAGCTTATCTGCCTGTGACCTGGTCCATCTTGTCTTTTCCTATCAGGGATGCAGCTGATCTGGTGGTCCAAGGCAGAGGGAAATTTGAGGAGCTAATGGTGTGTTCACATGAAATTGCTGCTAGCACAGCCCAGCTCGTGGCTGCATCCAAGGTACAACCTGTGCTGGACTGTGAGGCCTCTAACCTTGGCTAGGTTAGAGAGTCCTTGGTTGGTAGAACTGGCCCTGAGAGCAGGTGATTTATCCAGGGTCCAGATGGATTGGGTCCCATACCACACTCCGCTAGAAGTCTTTCATCTATCAGCAAGGAGTCCCTCTACCCAGCTTGCCACATGCATCCTCGTGGCTCTCCTCGCCTCTGTTACAAGTGGCCTTGGAGGGTCCCAGCCATGCCAACCTCTGATTAGCAATCCCGGCATTCAAGGAATTCTCAAATAAGGAATAGGTTGGCACAATAAACAAGGCGTTTGGCTTGCCTCCGAGATTCTACGACTTCTCATTAGTCTCCTCATTTGAATTGCTGCCCCAACTGATTCTCATGCAGGGCTTATAACCGAACTCCTTTTGAGAGTTTGACAGTACCCAGTGAGTGTCCTCTATTTGTTCTTATTTCTTGTTGTCCCAAATTGCTTTCCACAACTGGGACACTTGGTCCTAATAAATGATAAAGCTACAGTTTGGAGCCACCATGTAAATAAGCCAGGAATCATTTTTTATATTACAGTTACGCTAGGAGCTGACCCTATAGGCAGTAATTTTTTGAGAAGTTAATTGATCAGTACCTATCATGGATCACACATATTTGTCAAGAACCATCAGACCAACTCTTCGATATGGTCCTTGCAGCTCTAGGTGTCGTGGAAACCAAAATCTGCTTTGTTGTGACAGGTAAAAGCCGATAAGGACAGCCCCAACCTAGCACAGCTGCAGCAGGCCTCTCGGGGAGTGAACCAGGCCACTGCCGGGGTCGTGGCCTCAACCATTTCCGGCAAATCACAGATCGAGGAGACAGGTAGCCTTCCAGAAGGGATGCTGTTCTTACCCACTCTGTTCTATCCATTCTCTGCCTTCTCACCTGTGATCCCAATGTCCCACGGTTCTGTTTCTAAATTATTTCCTATTTTTCATCTTTTTACATCCATACTTGTTTTCTCATAAGGTGGGACACCATGTAGGCATGCTGTTTGTGTCACTACAGTGGCAGGCCCTTCAGTGGATTCTCTGTTTAGTGGTTTCTCTGGATTTAGAGAAATGACTCGAGAAGCCTGGTTGACCCTGGGGAGGTTGGATCCTGTTTACACCATAACCACTTCATCCCTCCTTCCTCTTCATCCCTCGGTGGGCAAGCCAGGCATTTCAGCAGAGCACTGGCACGGGCCACCTCTCATGGGCACCCGTCTGCCAGGGGTCGTATTTGACAAGGCTTTCTCGTTTCCATCCTTGCAGACAATATGGACTTCTCGAGCATGACACTGACCCAGATCAAACGCCAAGAGATGGATTCCCAGGTGAGAGCTCCCGCTCTGAGTTTGGGCAGTCTCTATTTCTTGGACATCGACCCCAAATATTATTCCTGTGGAGAGAAGCCAGAGAGAGAGGGGAAGACTTGGGGGAAGTGAACACGGCTGCACCTACTAGCCCAAGATTCATTGTAAATGATGTTGGAAAAACAGTGGAGGTAGAGAGAGGTGATTAGTAAAGATCAAGGTCTTAACTCTTGCCCACTAGTCTTGGACTAGTGTTCTCTAAACATTGTTGGGAATCTCCTAGTAGTCCAGAGACTATTACTTACTTGTCTTACTATAGAGAATTTTTTAATTTTTTTTAGTTTTTTTCTGGCAAGTTCAAAAGGCAAACTTTAAAAAAAAAAAAAAATTTCTGGTATGAATTATTTGTGTATGACCTTTAGTTTTTTTTTAAACAATCAATTCCCTGTTAACTCATCAAAGGCAATGCCATTTCTCCCTGTTGCTCAGGAAAATTGTGCCTTGCAAAATAGGAATTAGTGAGATCCTGAGAAACCTCTGACATCCTTGTTCTAGACGTTGTGGTCATCAGTCATGGGTAAAATCCAGATTGGGGTCATCAGATTTCTTCAGGCGGGTCACTCAGCATCTTTAGGAAGGGTTGCGTGGCCAGGCTTGTGTCTCAAGACAAGAAGGGCTGTCCCATGTAATGATCTCACCATGGTCTCACCAGTCCCTTGTGACCTTAAGTACCATGTATGTGCTGGTAATACCACCTTCCTCTCCCCAGCCTAGATGTTCTCCTCGAGCCCCGTACATATCCAGCTGCCTGCTTGATATCTCTGCTTAATGCCCAATAAGTCTCTCAAGCATAATATGTCCGAAGCAGCCCTTTTGCTGTCCTGCTCACCCCACTTTGTCCCTCTTCTGGTTTTTTCCACCTCAGTAAATGGCACCCCTGCCAGCCACCTGAGTGTGGAGCCCCAGTCCTAGGAGTCATCCTTGCATCCTCTCTTTCCTTCACCCTCCGCATCCAAACCGTCAGAAAGTCCCAGCAACTCTAAGTCTCCAAAACAAAGCCTTAAGCCTCCCACTTCTCTCCTTCCTACCCTAGTCTGAGCCACCATTGAGTGTCTCCTGCAAAAGCAACTTAGATATAATGCATGCTGGTATTTGTCTCAAATAATCCCATGGCAGGGACGGGTGGTGGGGAGAACATCAGAGAACACTGCTGAGACAGGTCTGCCCGAGAGAAGGTGGGTCGTGGAGCCCAGGTAGAGGGGTCGCTATGTTTAGCCTCCATCCTTCTGTAGACGTTGTACATTTTCCCTAATGAAAAGGTTAAAAACAAAAAAGGAACCCCCTCACTGGTTCTGGTTGCTTCCACTCTTGACCCTCTAAAGTCCATCATTCTCCACATGATAGTTTCAAAACGCGACTCACAACCTACCGCCTCTCTGCTGGGATCCTCCCAAGGGCTGCCCTTTGCACATAGAATATCCAAACTCTTCACCCGGCTGTGGGCCCTGGGTGAGGCGATCCTTGCCTGTTTCCCAGCTCATCTCACAACCCCCTCCCTCTCTGGCACAGGACTTCCTTCCTTCTCCCAACACCTCTCGCTTATTCCTGCCTTGGAACCTTCGCTCTTCTGCCTAGAATGTTCTTCCCCAGTTCTCTCAACAGCTGAGCTCTTAAGGCCATTTAGGTTTCAGCTCAAAAGTGACTTCCTGATAGCAGCCTTCGCTGACCATCCTTAGTCTTTGTTATGTCGCCCTGTGTCATTTTCTTTATGATCTGAACTTTTCTTGTTCATCTGTCTGTCTCTTTCCCCCCCTGCAAGGTAAGCAGGGACCTTGTCTATGTGTTCATCACTGTCTCCAGCACCTGTAACAGAGCCCAGGGTACATGATGGGTGTTGAGCAAATACTTCTTGAATTAATAAATAAAATAAAATTGATGAGAAGTAGAGCCAACCAAGATCGCCCCTTCCTTTAGTAAGATTGTCCGTGTCTTTTGCTGTAGTAATAACCCTATGTTGCACCAGCACCTCAGAATTACCAGAACCATCATGTTTGGTTCCTACCTAGACTTCCAGGGAACTGGGATTAAAGAAACTAGATTGGAACCAGCCATACAGGTAGGCTAAACATTAGGGTTGTTTTTAGATAGTGACTTATCAGAGGGACAGGAGATAAGCCCACCTCCCATTTGAGCATTGGTTTGTAAGGCAGTGTGCATTTCCAGTGAGGGTCACAGAAAAACACGAAAGCTCCTGAGATAGACAGATGAATAGGAGAAGAGAGAAATGAGAGCAGAGAAGAGAGTTGAAATTGAGGGCTGGGTAAGCCATGGAAACAGGATGAATAATACGGAAGCAGGAATCCGGACTGCAGAGGAAAAGGGGTTACGTCAAAGTAAGACAGGTCTCAGAGAGCTGATCAGAAGAAAATTCCACTTACTCTGCCCTTCCAGGTTAGGGTGCTGGAGCTAGAAAACGAATTGCAGAAGGAGCGTCAGAAACTGGGAGAACTTCGGAAAAAGCACTACGAGCTTGCCGGTGTTGCTGAGGGCTGGGAAGAAGGTAAGCTGAGTCTGAGGACCGGCACTGGCCCGCGGCAGGGAGGGGTGGTGTGCGGCCAGGGCCTTCCCTTCAATAGACCAGAACAAGGAACCCACTGGGTGGGTCACTTCCTCCTTTTCTCTCCTCACAAGCCTGTTTTCTGTTCAGTTGTAAATAACCTTTAAGCCTAAAATCGAAAGCTTTTGTCATCATCTTTCAAGGCTTAAATATTGACCCGTGGACTGGTCACTCACTTAACTGCCATTCCCACCCAGGCCCAGGCAGCCTGGTTGACTCCCCGGGAGTTGAGCTCTGCCCAGCACAGGGTTGAACAGGGAATGAATAGTGGTCAGTGGAGATCCGAAGACAGGGACACGTGAATGGCAACGTCCCATCTAGAGCCGGTCATGGGCAGTAATGGCCAAAAGGTAGCGGGCGTCAGGGACTGAGAAACAGAGTGGCATGCAGTCTTATTCTGCCTACCGGCCCGGGTACTCACTGTCCCCAAGTCTATGTGTACTGCTTTTCTGCATGTCCAAAGTGGTCACCTTGATCACAACCAAGACTGTTAACTTGACTGACTGTGGGCACCAACTGCAGACAGATCCTAGTAGTTCCTGGACACAGTGCTCGGGGAATAGATGATTTATACCGTGGTTATGACTGTAGCGTATTTTAGAGCCCAACGTGGTGGCAGTTTTCATCGGTTAGATGCATGCATGCATGACTTGCTATGTGACATAAGTTGTCATTGTCTTTTAGGAACAGAAGCGTCTCCACCTGCACTGCAAGAAGCGGTAACCGAAAAAGAATAGAGCCAAACTGACACCCCATGCGTCAGAGTGTAAATCCTTGTTACCCATCTCTGTGTGTGTTATTTCCCCAGCCACAGACCAAATCGGTGGAAGTCCCCGTGGCAGCCACGCCACTCCCGTTGCCCAGTGCTGAGGACCTGCATGACCCTTCCAAAGACTCCCTCCACAGTGACACCCGTCCTGTTTGAACCCACGGTCTCTGTTCTTTGCCCGCCTCCCTAGTGTCCAGGCCGCCCATGAACAACCTCAGGTCCAAAGAGGAGGGGGTCAGGCCATGCACCACAGCGACCTCCATCCATGCCTGCCTCCTTTTGCCCCCCACAACAATTGGTGTCCTTATTAGAGGGGCTTCTTGGTGTCGTCAAGAGCTTGGAGAGGGAAGATCTTATGCATTTTTTTTTTCTGTTTTCTTCTCAGTCTGTTCAGTTTCATCATTTGCACAAACTTGTGAGCATCAGAGGGCTGGTGGATTCCAAACCAGGACACTACCCTGAATCCGCACAGTCAGAAGAACAGCGGGGTGTCCTGGCTGAGAATGCCAGCACAGTTCTACCCCTCTCTGGGCAGTTTCGTGGATTCCCACTGCTTCTTATGGTGGTTGGTTGGGGTTTTTTGGTTTGATTTTTTTTTAAATTTCACTCACATAGCCAACTGTCCCAAAGGGCATGTCCCTGGAACTCTGAGTTCCCTGGGACCCCACCCCACGGCAGTTCCAGCAACGGTGCTGCTCAGGCTTCGCCTTGGTGCTCCACCTCCGCCTCCTGCTGAGCGAGGGCTGGGTGGCCGAGGCCACGCTCCAGCGTCAGGCAGAGCTGCTGAGTAACAGCTTGTCCTCAAAAGGCAGAAGCAGAGCGAGTGCCTTTCCTCCCTCCAGCTGGACTCCAGCTGGAAGCCTCTGTCCCCCTTCACAAGTGAGAGGGTAACAGAAGGAGGGACAGGAGAGGTATGCATGGCCCAGGTCTTCAGGGGACACCCTTCTTAGGAATTCCTGTGACCAGGCTCAAAAACCTTAACTCACGCTTGAACCAAGCTGGTGAGAGTAACAACACTACTTCCCCTGGAATGAATCGTCCATGTCACGTCAAGTGGGCCACCTCCCTTCATTCACAGGCGGGGCCCTAAGAGGGATCGTGGGAGGGATTCCCAACTCTGTTCTCCAGACGTCTGCCTTGGCATCCTCTTGAATCTGAAGAAGATCGTTCCATATTCTACCCAGTTGACAGACCCAGAAGATCAGACACGCTTGCTCCCATCAGGAAAGAGCCTTGTGCTTGGTTTGGTACCCTTAGTATTTATTACTAACCTCCTTCAAGTGGCAACAGCCTACAGAAATTTGCCTGTGACTGTGACAAGGCTTGTATCGCTGCCCTGCGGCATCAGCCTTCAAGAAACAGCAGCACAAGGCCAAGGTGCCATCCCTGGATTGTTCCTGGCGTGGATCCCAAAGCAAGCAGGTCCCTCCAAGCTTTTGGGTCAGGGAAATGGGAAAGGGGAGCCACTGGCTCTGATGCTTTCCAGCCACACCTTCCAGGCTCTTGCTGCCCAGCAGATAGGATAAGGACAGAGGGCACATGAACAGCCTCCTAGAGATGGGCAGCCTGCCAGCACTTTTCCACTCCCAGATGGACCCCAGCATCTAAGTGGCCTTCTGATCTTGGAAAAACAACGTCTTCCTTCTTTATCTCTAGCAACTCAGTAGTAGTAGCCAACAAGCACTTCCCGGAACTGGTCACAAAGGAACATTGCTAAGTTTTGCTACGTGATGGGTTGTGAGACTGCTGTTCGATCACTGTGAATCAGCCCCCCTCTTTCTACCCCACCCCCCCAGCTCCCTTTCTGTGCATTTTCTAAGTGGGGCACTCCAAAAAACAGTCTCCCAGGATCTCAGATGACCACACTCAGATGTGACCTCCATATTGGGCTAAGGAGGTATCAGCAGTAGGAACCGGGCAGTCTTAAGTTTAATGCTGCTTTGTGCTTAGTGTTCTTCCATCCCAAGGCTCAGGACTGGTGTGCGGCATCCCTGTCCCAGTTGTGCCAGTTAAGCCAATCAGTGTGTTCTCAGTGTGGGTCGCCGGTTTCAAAAGTGGCTGGTCCTCACTTCCAGGGTTGCAACCATTCAAACGCATGTGTTCTGAATTACCAGTGGGGGGAAAAGTGTAGTGCATTGGACCAGATTAGGATGCTCTGAATAACACTCCCTCTAAAAAGAAGCCACAGTAATTTTTAAAACCTTCCCGGACTTAGTCTAAGTAATAAAACAGTTAAGAAAGCACTTAAACAGGAGCACCGGCTAATTCAGTGTCACATGGGGAAATACCTGTAGATGGAGTGTGATTACTTTCATAATAGCTCAGATTAGAAACTGTTCCATTCTCCAGCCAAAGTCAAATTGTCCTGCCTTGGCTCCTCTAAAAACGAATGCGTTCTACTTGCTGTGAAATACCTTTGATTAAAACAGGAATCACATCTTAAAGCTAAAAATGAACTTCACAGGCCTTTTAAATGAGTCACTGAGCATCACTAGTGACCGAAGTCTTGGGATGAGTGTAAATGGGTCATGACAAGACAACATGGCAAGAAAAAAATGGCTTAGGATGAATAAGAGGTTGATATTCAGTTGCAACTTAATTTTGTCATACAGAGCTCTAATACCTCTAGAGTAAGGATATTTGTATACATAATAAGGGAAAAAAATAGAAGAAAAGACTCCTTTGTGGGGTTATTTTATATCTGAGCAAGGGGTTCAAATTAGACCATAATTTAGATTGTTTGCCAATCCTGCTGCCATCGGCAGTGTCCCTAGGAGCCCACCTGAATATGAGTCCTTAACCCAGTGGCTGGAAGAATCAAACGCTGCCCAGAGCATCCTTTCTTGGAATTGTTTTCAGCTCCAAGTCAGACACCAAGGTTTATACCAGGTAGCGCAGGGATCACGAGTACATGTCACTTCGGTTAGGTTTGTTTGCTTTGGCCTCTTGCCCCTGAGAAGGAGCTGGTTCTCAGCTTGCACCGGGGAAGTTCTCATTTCTTTGTCAGCTTCTTAGTCGAGAGGAGTCTACTGGCTCTACTTCACCCTGGTCTTTAATAACTGGGAAATGTCTTGCTACCTTCTACCACCTTTCCAAATCTCTGGAAATCCTTCCTGCCAATGAAAGCCTTCAGTCCCAAACTTGGCCTTCCAAGCAGACCGGCTTTGCCCTCTCTCTGCCATCCTTGGTCCACCAGAGACTGCACCACCTGGAGCAGAGAAAACCACCATCATGGGCCTGCCAGCCGTCAGCACAGCAAACTGGGCCAGCAACGTGTGCTCAATTTCTTCTTCTCCCAGGTCCACACCAAATACAGGATCAGCAACACACAGTGGTGGCACCGCCTCACCCCAGGAGCCAAAGCGAGATGAAACAATTGGTTAGATGCTGTTGGGTCCGATTCTGAGAGTAGATTTTTCCAGACATGTCTTTCAGGTGACCCTCAACTACCTCAGGTTTGAAGGCCCTAAATTAAGCGGATTACCACTCATAGGGACAAACCGAGGGGGTTTCGGTTAAATCTTGGTGATAATGCAATTGTCTCAAACTTAGAACAAACTCTTTCACGTTTAGATTTGCAGGGATAGGGTTGGGTTTATTTTTCCTTCTGTTTTTAACCTGTCCCCCAATTTTTCATTAGGATAGTTCCTACTAATGAATTTCATTTTTCACTGAGTGCCTACCTTCCCAGGGCAGGTAGCCACTGGCTTTTGTTTCCTTCCAACAATACTTTTATTATGGTGTTAAGACCTTTCTTTGTATAATACATGCATCTGTGTTTTCAATTTTTCAAATAAATATTTCAGCCTGGCAATGGAGAGTCGTGGTGATAACTGACCAACTAATGTGGCTCTGAGATCCATGTTTCAACGAAAAGACTACGTGTATATCTGGAGGTTCATGGAATCCACTTAGCTCTGCGCCTTTGGGAATGTATCTTAGAAACATTTGTTTGCACTTCTTAACTGTGTCCTGTCCTTGTGCACTGTCCTGTCCGTGGGAATGACCAAACAGTGCAAAGTGGTCAATACTGTACATTATCTAGAAGGCCAGGTCTCTGCATAAAATCTTGGGGCTCAGGCTGTGGGCCACTCCCTCTGCACCCTTGAGAAGCAGACAGAACCTGTCACCTTCAAATTGGATGTGATTAATTCTTCTCAGAGACAGAAGCTGCTAATCACAGAGGGATTCAGAGCAGGCCAGTTGCAGCTACCGGAGGAATTACCGAGGGAGCTGACAGAATGGAGCTGGGCTGCACGGTGACCTTTCTGCAGCAGGATTGGCGGCAACCTGATGCTGCCAGTGTGTTAAGCCAAGGGGACCTGCGGGGGTGAGACACCAGTGGGGAAGGGCTGGGGTTGGTGAGCAGAATTGGCCCAAATGACTCATCAAGTAAGGAGAGAATGAGGCCAGTAATCAGAAGCTAGAGTCTGTAGCTAAGGAGGTCAAAGAACCAGTAACACAAGAAAGGAAAGTAATATTGGAACTGCCCAGTGGGAAGATGTGGGTAAATACGGAAGACGGGGACATTTGCTTGCTGCTGGGCTTTTCTGCTCCTTGTGGCAGAATGCCAACGTGAGCCAGCTCCATTTGAAGCACCACTGATAGAGGGGACAGTGCTTGGTCACAGCTCTCCTGCAGGTCACTCCCAGAGCTCGGGCGTGATGCTGAGGGGTCCAGAAAGCCAGGTAGCAGGACTGCCAAGGGACCTTTGCTTTGAAGTGCTTTCACTGAAATTTTCTAAGTCCCCTCCTGGTGCCAGGGTCTGGCCTGGGCCAGCTGTGCTGTCCAGGCAGAGCCTTTGTCCCCTCCCAGGTGCACTCTAGCCTCCACACTCCCGCCACCCACACTCGTCCTTGTCCAGGTACCCCAGAGGTTCTGGTTCTCATGCCTGAGGGGTCTTCCTGGGGTCCCAGGTCTAAGAGGGCAGCCTGGCTAGCTGGTCACTCTGGCCAGCAGAATACTCTCAGGAGGAATCGTGAGATCATGCCACCAGAATGATGCTGCCATGCCGTTAAATGCAGAGTTCAGGGCGAGGAGAGTTAGGGTTTATATAGACGGGGTGGGGGCGGGGGGCCCTGCTGAAGTGAAAAGGAACAAAAAGTTGAAATGGGCAAGTCGGGGATGGCCTAGATGAGGTCTGAGCCAGGACATATCCCTGAGGCACACTTTGTACAGCTGAGACTTAAAGCCAGTGAGCTTTGACTTTGCTCATCCTGGTTGTCCTCAGCCTCTAGTCTGTTGCCCAATGCACGGTAGACCTTTGACCATTGCTTGGGAGTGAATGAATGAATTCTCATTAACACCACATTCTTCATTGTACACACATTTTACGCATCCATTCACTGTGCAGGCACTGAAATTGCCAGAGATAAAGGCTTTATGTTCCCTGTCCTCAAAAATTGCATTCCCGTATTCATTATTTGTTATCCAATGGCTACACTATCAGGCACTGGGAACGCAGAGCAAAAATAGACATGGTCCCGCCCTACTGGAGCTCACAGGTTATTGAGGAAAACAAATAGTATGGTCCAGTCATCACAATAACATGAGTGTAACTACAACTGGAGCAAGCAGGAAAGCAAAGTGATGAGTGCTCTCAGAGCATGGAAGGAGGGCTCATGGGAAAGCTGCCTTTGACAAAGTGATAGTTGAGCTAAGATTCAGAGGATGAGGAGGTGTTAACTAGGTAACGGGGGAGGGAAAGCTCCCAGCAGAAGGAGTGGCATATGCAAAGTCCCTGTGGTGGGACACTAAAGGCCAGTATATATAGCTGGAGCCCAGGCAGAGAGTGGTACAAGATGAGTCTGTGCAAAGAGGCAGGGGCAGACCATGCAGATGACGGAGAGCAGTTGATAGACTTTAGGGAAAGGGGTGACATGATGAGATTCCCATTCTGAAAAGACCATTCTAGTTACAGTGTGGAGGACAGGTCGAAATGGAGCCAAGTAGATGGGAGAAACCAGTAAGGAAGCATTGTCATTACGCAGGCAAAGGTTGATGGCATAAAATATGTGAACAGAGAAGTGGGAGGCAAAGTTGAAAAGGTAAGTTGTGGCCATGCTAAAGAAAATTTTGAATACCAAGCTGTCTTCGTTCAGACTGCTGTAACAAACAATCCATAGTCTGGGTAGTTTGAACAGCAAACATTTATTTTGCACAGATCTGGAGGCTGGGGAGTCCAAGATCAAGGTGCTAGCCAATTCGGGTCCTGGTAAGGACTTTTCCTGGCCTGCAAATGGACACCTTCTTGCTGTATTCCCACTTGGCAGAGAGATCATCTCTCTTGTGTTTCCTAAGGACATTAATCCTATTCAGAGGGCTCCACCTTTATAATCTAATTACCTCCCAAAGACCCCCCCCCACTCTGAATACCATCATCATATTGGGGATTAGGGCTTCAACATATGACTTTTGGGAGGACACATTCAGTCCACATTCCAGGCTAAGAAGGTTTTGTTTAGTTGCGTAGGTGGGTCTTAGGTAGGAGGATGGGCCTGCCTCTTATGCTCGCCTGTGTTCACTAATCACACCCACCCAACTGAAAATACTTTCTGAAGGCTGGAACAACCTTTTGTCACCCCACAAGATCGTCCATACTCCCTCTTCTGTTCCCCCTTTCACTTTGCCGTTTCCCATTTACAATTCAGTAAGTCTGCACCAGACAATCTCATTGTGCACACAGGCTCTGTAACCCTTCTTCCTCATTCCTTGTGCACTCAGCTCCCTCTCTGGGCCCAAACTGAGCCTAATTATGACTGATAGCACAGAAGTACTGCTTCTAGAGAAAGTGTAAATTTCCAAGTTAAATACCAAAGTTCTTGCTGAACCGTCCTTTAAAACTGCTACTAAATTCTTCATGTCTCCTCTAATTAAATGTATTTCTTCCTATGGAACCAATAGCCAAAATAAATTTTGAAAACTCAATTCTATTCAATTTCTATATTGTTTAAAATGTCTAATATCACAATAGTTATGTCCTCTCCATTCATGTCAATTCAGTGAATATTGCTGAGTTCATATTGTACACAAGAGACTGTAGGAAATAGAAAAATAAACAAGATAATAGTCCCATTTTTTAGGACTTTCCAAACTTAGACATGTCCATCCATTAGAAACCAAAGTATCAACATGAAAAAGATGAGACACTTTTTCAAGAAAATTAGCAGTATTCAAAGGAAACAGAAATGAGGCAATAACTTTAGGAGGTAATGGAATACATGAAGGGAAGTTTTTAAGGAGAAAGAAGACAGCATGTTTAAAGGCTAACAAGAAATCAGAGGAGGTAGAGATTGAAGAATGACAGGAGTAAGAGGAATGTGGATTCCTTCCTTCCTTCCAGAAATCCTTATTCAGTATCTACAGTGTTTAAGGCACAAGGAGTACATCCAAATACAGCATGGGCAAGTGGGAATTTATAGCCAAGGAACAGGGTGAGGACCAGTGGATGGAAAATTACTAAGAGGATAAGGGGGATTCTGGCTAAACTGACCTAGCAGCATTTTAGCTAAAGGCCCACCAAGGTGATCAGACAGCACGTGGGGGATGGCGAAGGACGAGGAACACAATCAGATATCGAGGGTGATCACATACTGAGGAAGTCTAATCTGACTTAGCCTTGCCAAAATTAATTTGTACAAGAGGTCAGAGGAGTCTGAGTTGAGTTTGGTCAAGAAGAGAGTCTTTGTCAGAAGTAGAGCTGGAGGGATGTGAACTATTTCCTACAAAATGAAGGCGCAAGAGAGGTGACAGAATCAGTTTGCTGTGGGGAAGGGGGATTTCAGAGTTCGAAGCGCCCCAAAAGAGCTCTTCTTTAATGCTTACACTAGTAGAACAGGTTCTAGCTGTTCAGTCTTGGCCAGACAGAACAATTGTGAGGGGGGAACCCCTTATCAAATGTTATACACACACACACACACACACGTGCCCTTTGGGTTTGGCTTCATTCTAAATGTGCAGTTTTCCAGGCAGTCTTTACAACGATCCGAGTAAGTTTCAAACAAAACAAAACAAAAACCAACGAACCAACCAATCATGGGAAATCGCCAACTGTGCAGGGTTGGGGGGCCTCTGTTCCTGGAGGTCCCAGAAAAACCTGACACCTGCAAAGGTCAGATCTGAGGACTGGGGCCCTGAAAGAGACACAGCCTTGGAGGCACTCCTTCCCCTAGGGGCTGGGGAGCACCTGGGACCGAGTTAAATCCCCCCTACGGTAGAAAAGGGTGATGGAATTGGATTCTCCCAGGATCCGAGGTGGAGAAGAAGGGCAGGATGCGCTCTTCCCGCCCTCCACCTAAGACTCCGGGAGCCGCCTAGCGGCTGCAGCCGTCTGTCCTCATTGCCCAGCAACCGGCCGCCTCGCGCCCCTCTCGCGGGAGTCGCCCCGCAGTGACGCGAGACGCGCGCGGTGCACGTTGGGAGCACGAGGTTACAGCCTGCTTGGGCCCTCGCGCCCAACGGAACTGCGGGCTGGGCCAGTCCGGGAGGCTGGGGACAGGCTCGGCCCGGACCGGCGCAGTCAGACCCTCGCAGACCTCAGCCGCTTGGGCCGCAGGGTTGCTGCAGCCGTGGTCGGGCCACCGCCCTCCGGGGCCGAGCTTGGACTTAGGGCGGTCGGGTAAGTCCCTTCTGCACCCTGGGCTTGGCTAGGCCTCTCACACGCCCAGGGTTCTGTTATGGGCAGGTCACCAGCGGTTTTCCACACAGATGCGTTAGTGGACCCCGAGCGTTGTGTGCCTTGGTTTTGTCAAGCACGGAACAATTATTGGGTCATTAACTATGAAATGTCTGATTTCGAATCAATAGTTTATTATA